TAGATTTTTGATATACTCAATTTTGGATATGCGATCAATTATTTTCTACAACAGGCGAATCCAAAAAAATATTGCAGATAAGCTTGTTCATAAACGTAAAAAAGTTACCGTTTTTATAAACAAACATGACTAACCCTTAGTTGCTTCCCACGAATCTACCATTTTTTTTAAACAATTTGTTCATATGGAAGTCATAAGTAATTTAATTGAAAAAACGCACTCGAAATGGAAGACGCAAATGTTTAATAGAGCCTAATCGAAGGTTGGGTATTCTGATAAGTTATTAATAAAACACAGCTGGGTAGGCTATAATGAAGCGCCATTGAAATCTTTTCATGTATGTAACACGGTTGATAGGGAATAATTTTTATCGGGTGACGTTGTACTATTTTCGTATAAACTGAATGTAACGAAGGAAAACGGCTTATAAACAAGCGAGAGCATTATTGATCGAAGCAATTATTTTTGCGTTAATATTGAACGAGGGTAGGTTTTACGCGATGGCGACGACGCCGTCGTTGCGACATTTCGCGACGGCTTGTACTGAGCAACAACGCATAAAAACGAATTAGTTTACGTCTGAATGCAGCGGTTTCAAATTGAACGAGTGCTTTTACAATATATAGCGTTTGACTTCTAGTATATAAACTACCTAGATGTGGAAAACATTATAGTTCGTCAACATACTTTTGAGAAAAAATATTATGAATAGCAATGAATATAGGAAAACAAGTGAGCAGAAATAGGTTATTTAGTCAGTTAGTTAGTTTGTTTTATCTGTAGTCGTCCGTAATGCTGAGATGATAATGCAGTATTCCATTAAAATGAGACAGACAAAAATATTCACAAACTCAGCCAAAATGCGTTGAAGATGCAAAGACTAACATACAATAGTTTTCATTTTATTTTTAAATTCCAGTTTAATTGCTGCTTATTTTGGCATCGGAGCCAAATAGATATTTGACGTTTCTCCCTCGTTGAAAAATCGACCAAGCTGTTTGTTTTGTTGAGCAAGTCGAATAAATTGATCCGCACCGATTGTCGTACCAAAATATCTAAATTATAGCATTAACATTGACGCATGAGGCTTCAATAATCCAATCTTGTTGTCTTGGTATTTTGGCGTGATACATACACAATTATGCACAAAGCAATATTACAACTAAAAGGAAAGTTTACCCTTTTGTCCAAATATATCATTTTATGTCAAAACCGTGACAGATTACCTGCTGGGTTTCATAATTACACGAAAACCTTGGGATTATATTATTTTATGCAAGTAAAAATTTTTAAAAACTGTCATATTTTGGTCACAATCGATTCTCTTTATTGATCTTAAGTAAAACCATTTGATGTGACCCATTTACCAAATGATTTGAAAATCCATCACCAGGTCCAACTCAGACACAGAGTAAAACTAATAACATTTTGCATACTTGATTAGTATCTGACTTAGCGTTGAGTTCACTGAACCGTTATAACTTTGCTAGCGCGAGTAAGGTTAGTTATACTTCGCTGACCAGTACAAATTGTTCTGACTAAATTTTCGAAATTAATATAAACGTGTTTTTATGTGAAAGTGATTTATGCAATTTGAAACTATTTTTGTATTAGTATTGACTCTCATGCCTCAACTAATCACAAATATTGATTTGTTCACTTCCAGACACATGCCTGAATTGCCAGTAGTAGTTTGTTTGTATATGCATATAATTATAATGACAATCTGCGTCTTTTAGAGCCAACAATTTGCAATTGAGTTCAAATTTTATTTTTAGTCAAGGAATTTTGTTCACAACAAATTAATTTATTTTTATTAACTTTAATTCTTAGTCCAAAATCCATTCAAATTATATATAGATTCAGCTAGATCGAGTTGTTGATTTCTATAAACTGTATTTGATCTTGCGCAACATATCAAAAATATTCGTTCGAGGACTTAATCGAAGTTAGCACTGCAAGCAGAAATTCAAAACGAAAATTTTTCTTATTTTAAAAGTTGAATGAAAGATTGAGAGGATAGAGTCTGCCGATAAACGACATAAACCCAAATGATTATATATGTATATATTTTTGGTTATTTTCTGTCTGTAACGTATAATCATACTTTTGCGTATCAGAGGGGGGAAGTTTGCTAGCATAATCAAGGTTGAAAATAACTATATTCAACCTCGAAAATCATGCGTGACTACTTTTTAAGATAACCGATATACTTGATGTAAAAGAAATATGGCAAAATAACTTGAACTTCGTAGTAAACAAAGAAAGGTGGGTACAGTATTACAGCATTCTATTAATTTTCTCTCGTATTCGAACGAAATACTGAAAATATTATTATTTGGAATATGCGCCGCAACTGGAACCATTGACCGTCATATGACCTTCAGATGACGGTGTTGATGCCACCTTATTTGTCTTGTTTCTTCAATTTTTTTTTTTCCGCTATTGAGTTGTAAATTGAGAACCTATCGCCTTGTCTATCGTTGTGTATACTCGGGTCTACTCCATAATTACTGTTATGCGCGAATAAGTGCAAACCGAATGGTTGGCTATATCTGTAGCGCTTCGTCACACACACTGACTATACAATTCATATTTCTTCAACCAAAGAAACATTACAGAACCGTTCAAAGCATTTGGAATGTTTTTACGTCTCAATGTTCTGTCTATATTTTAACAAGGGTGGAGAGTATTGGGCGGTGTGTGTGGAAATGTGAAGAGGGGTTTGAGAAAAAATTCCATAATTACCGCATTGTTACAGTTGTTACAAATACTTGGGACTTGGGAGTATTTGTGGTCAAAAGTCTTATATACTTGAATATCACACATGTGTCAATCAATTGGATAGGTCTATTGAACAAAGAAGTTCTCGAGTCAACTGAGTGTACTTAAGGCATTCTGTACATTTCGTTCAGATTCATCACTAAATCTTGTACAGTTAGAAGTAATAGTAAGAAAGCTCGACGGTAAAAGGGAACAAACACTCGTACAGTTCGAATGAGTTGTTGAATATTAAACAATATAAGTCTAATTGATTGGGAAATATCAATTCATACTCGGGTAAATAACTATACGAAGATGCATTTTTCATTAATATATCCACATTTTGCATAATTTCAAGTAATAAATATTTAGGCCGACCTCGAAACGGTGTGCAATGTGGGATGGACGAAAATTCCTTCCATACTATATTTAAGGAATTCAACAAATAGATAATAAACTACCGTTCGAGGTAAATATTTCCTCTCGTAAACCAATGCTCGCACGGAAAGCTTTGAAATAGATCGCGCTACATGTGGTTTTCATTCAGATGAATCGAATTCAATACGCGTAGAATGTAGGCACAGCAACATTTTCCATCGTTTTTCAGTATTTTGTTCGCATTAAATGTAGTCGACTGTTTTATCACGAATGGCCAGGAATGTTTCATCATTTCTGGCTGATAAATCTGTCAGATTACTTTTTACTTCACCAAAAATTACTGGGATTTTTTGTACGAAACACCAGCCAAAAATTGCACCCCGCCAACGATCAAAATAAGAAAATTAGTAAATATCCAGTTAGGTAAGGTTAAGAATGCAGATTGCGCTGGGAATTCATATTTTCTAAATAATTTCCAATCCTAACCCTATTCTCAACTAAATAAGTACTAGTTTGTTATTTTAAAACGTGGTGGGGGTGTTTTCCTTAAATTTGTAATTTCTTAAAGCAGTAATTTGAAATGTCAATTTTTGAATTAAGCGGTGTTATGGCAAACATCAGACGCGTGTTGTGGATTAGTCGAAGTCAAAGCTGTCAGCAAATAGATCAGCAGGAAATTGCAGTGCAGTATAATCGTTGTGAACCATTGCGCTCAAAAGATCGCACCTGACCAGGTATATATAAGCTATGGACGTTTCGTCATGCGTGGTATCAGGTTAGAATTAGATTATTCAGAGGAAAATATCACGTAAATACAATATTTGTGCACCTAAAAATCTTAACATATCATTGATGTAAAATATGTAGAATTCAATGTAGGATTAATCATTAATAATATTCTGTCGTTCAGATAATATTTGAATATTTACTGTACCTATCCATAACTAAAGTCTCAACCTCTCAAAGCTTATCACTTCGATTTAGACAATATTATGCGCTACGGTAGTTGCTCAAAACCCAAGTTTTTCAAAACTCTTTGTTATTAGTGTAATGAGAAACCGGATAATGTGAACTTTTAAAAAAGGTACTCGTAGTATATTTTTAATGACGTGCACTGCTTATTGTGCGCTTATTATTGCGTATGAGGAAATAACTGAGCACTGTCAAAATACGATAGAAACAATATACTGTCATGGTTAGTCATAACCACTCCTCGGCGTACCTTCTTCCGATTTAATATAGTGAAGTCGCGCCCACATGCTTGTTCAAAACAACTGATGTACAGGCAATTTACTTGCTGAATTTTATTTTATGAGATTTTAGTTCCATTTTTTATATTGATATCAGTATGACTCAGAAAATGATGAAATGTATATATACACAGACGATATTATGTGGTCCTTTGTGTGAGCGGAGGTGATATATGTAAATTTTTATCGCAGCGAATTCTACAGCAGTGTAATGGGATAAGCAAAAAAGATTTTTTCTGCATTTTTGAGAGACTGGCCATCTTATTGTTCATCAGTTGTTTTGAAGACAAATTACACAACTTACCTCATAAAATTTTTATGATTTATTATCAAAACACTCATAGTAGTAGTAATAAGCTGACAGGGTTCTTCTATCTCTAATTCTTAATGAAATACTTCCAGCATAAAATCTAAACGAAGTTAGAAATCACCAACAAGTATGCCCCGCAGTGCAGCCAAGAATATACTGACGGAGGGGCTTACGGCAAAGGATGGTTTATCCTAATATTTTTGATTAGTTAATCAATAAGCGTATAGTGGAGAAGTTGAATCGACAAAATTTAAATAGCCAACTTTCATTATTTTTTCAATTTCTCGTTTATAGTTATCACTATATGGTAAATTAATTATTGTTTGAAGTTATGACAACAACGACGACAATTCTTCATACAATAAATGTATCAAATGCTTCTATTGACATTTGCATTACGCAGCTGGAACCGAAACTGTATCAAATCACGACTATTGTTACAACCATTACAATATTAGTAAGTATATTTGACATTCGCATTACGCAGCAGGAACCGAAACTGTATCAAAACTAAAGCTATTGTTTTAATTATTACACTATTAGAAAGTATATATAACCATATAGCAGTTCGTATAATATATACTAATTGTCATTCTCCTAGTTTGACATGCAACAGCCCTGACGAAACATATACGTACCAAAAACTTATTTTGCTTCAACTCTAATGAAAGCAATAACATTTGTGGTTCTATCATTCTAGCCGCTGATTAGCATCTATTCATCGTAGGGGCTCCCTCTTTTGTACGAAATTGCTAAAAAAAATCAAATTCTCTCGTACTAAATTATGTTGCTGGTAGTTTTGACTTCAAATGGTCTTTTTTAGTTGTTTAATTATTATTTATTGTTTTGTTGCTGCTCTCATATAGATTAGGGTGGTCCAAACCCTGGCATGCGGCCGCAAGACCTCATTCTTCAATAATATATTTAAAGTGAGTAAACTCGCGATATAAATTGATCATTTTTTTGGTCTTCTCCGGCTGCGGCCCGCGATACCTCTTCAAAAGTTTTTGCGGACCTTCAACCTCGCAACCTTGGACCACCCTGCTTTAGATACTAATTACGTCATTACAAATATGTTTAGTAATAGACTACTACCTTCAATCAAAGTTTCACATTCGCCTTCACATTACAAATTCTTTCACATCAGTACTTTTTGATAACATAATATGTACTTCAACACGCAGGTGATATGCAATTCGTTCCTCTTGGTCGCTATTGCCACAAACTGGACAGTTTTGCGTCAAAATGTAGTAAACAGATATCTTACCAGCTGTTTGGTATCTACAATAGTGTTTTGTCTTCTGTCGTTGTATGAAACGCTTCATAGCCTATTTCATTGGGACAACATTTTTGTAGATGGAGGAGTGCTTCAAAGGTAAGCAAGCAAATCTGTTATGACATTCAAGGCTCTTGAAATGTAAGGTCACACAATAGCAGTAACAAAAACGAAATTTTGTTGGGGTTCTCCTCATACCATTCCCTCCACTAACTCTACGTCACTGTGTGTCTGCGTGTCCAAATCAATTCAATTAGACTCATTGCCAAAACGTGCAAAAACAGTGAAAAAATAACAAATAACGCACGTTCTGCGCAACGCTTGTTGTTTCATTCATCGAAGTGCGTCGTTTTTATACGGGATAAATTTTATCAATACGACATAGCATAGTGTATTGTGTAATTTTAATTCACTTAGCCCAGTGGTTCTCAACCTGTGGTACGCGGAAGATGATCAAGTGGTACGCGAGCAGCTTTGAATTATTGCAACAATTAACTTTTGAGTTGGCCAAAATATGCCGACAACGCTTTATCTTCCATACTGTATGCATTCGCTGAACGTCCATTTCCCCGGGCATCAATTTTCTCGTTCGTTTCCGTAACCAGCAACAATAAGTAAACAATGCCTTGTTTTTGTAGTTTTGTGGGTTAGTTGTCAGTTTTCAGTTGTGTTTCAAAAAAATAATTGTGAATTAAATATCTTACTTGTGATTAAGTGATTTTTCGGTGGTACGCGACCAGAGTAAAAACACTAAAGTGGTACGCGGTCAGTAAAAGGTCGAGAACCACTGTGACTTGGCCCGTCAAAAATCTTGAGCAATTTTCATAAATACCCTTGAACTGTGACAGTAAGCTCACATAATAATTCTCCTAAGGTCCTAATTCATTCGACTTGTGTAATTAAATTATTATATACAAGCGAAAAAACACTATGAAAAATGTGTACCCAAATACAGGCTAATATTTATATATACTTATAATATAATATTTTAGATCAAAATTTACCTGGACGTGACATTACAACTGCCATACATATAGTTTGTGGGACCAAAATGTATACATCACTGTCAATACCGGATCGTTTAAACAAATCTTAGCCTTCGTGATGGGTCGATTACATAAAAATTATGATATTATATTGCTTATTAGTTTTGAAAGCAAATTATTTATTTTCTACAATCTCTATATATATATATATATATATATATATATATAAGTAAAACCTCGGTTATAGTTACTAATGTGCTTTTTAGGTATAATACCAGCGATGAGTCTCATCATTCTCTCATGCAACGTGATGCGTATTTGAAAGTGTCAATACCTGCAATGCTTCTTGTATCTCAGCTGAACATTGCGGCTTTAATATACGCTGTCAGTGACAGCACTAACTTTGTAGGTCGATATATCGAACCTCCTGCATTTCGCAGTCCGATGCGAAGCAATAATAAAACGACAACATGGTTTATGAGGGTATGTCGCCTTTTGTTTTGTATTCTAAGAAATTTCACTGCTGCGTTTTTATCCAAAACATGAGACCTTTTTATTATGAGTAATATTTTCCGATCCCAGTTTTAGAGTAGGTCAGATGACATTTACTTTGTGCTTGATAAATATAGATAACTTGTTAAAAGTTACAATTAAGCTATCGTAGATGCTCGTAAACGAAAAAAATAATAATTTTTAATAATATACAAAAAGAGCACCACATCCAGTTTCCGTTCTCATATCTTCATCTTATTTCATAATTTTTGTTATCAGTTACAACAACTCAAATGGAAACGTTTCAAATCCGACTTTCTTATAATTCTTGCTTGGATGGTTCCAATGATATTGTCAATCCCAGTTCCGTTTGTGTGGAATTGTTTAAGTTATTGCAGATGCCTGCCTATGTACAGAGATATGCCAGTTTGCATTCCACGTGAGTAAATTTACAATATAAACATCCACAATATTTGCAAAGATTTTTTTTGGCGCCAGACATAACTTTATATCTGCCATGCACATATCGTTTTTTACTTTTTATATAGAACTTCTTTTGGAAATGTATTCCGTCCTGTTCAATGTTGAAATTATAGAGTTCAAGTCTCACTAATGTTAAACGCATTTTTATTCATTCATTGAAGAAAACACGGCGCCAATTGAAATTCTTTTTTATTAATATTTTCAATTGCTTCTTCGTTCATCAGCAATCGTATAAAATTTTATAATCTATTTATGTTTGGCGAGCTAAATATTCTACGTTTAAATCATCCTGGATACGACGTTAAATATGACTGTGAAAGGCGGCTTAATCATATGGGGAACCACGGCCTTTCGTGCGGTTACCAGTCCAGGTCGGGTATGGGATTAGTTAGCCAGTCATTTGTTTTCGGAAGCATGGACTTGATGGTGGAGGAAGCCGTATCCGACCAGCGGATACGTGAACCCCTACGGCGGCGAGGAGTCTAGCAATCCTCTCGCACACGATCATCTCCGCATGGGATTCGAACCTGCGATCCCATGAAGGGTGATCAGAGATGTGGTGGCGAGCGTATTCATAACGCTTAGCACGATGCGCCACACCGCCGAGATGAAAGCAAAATAACATCTAATTGCTTTAACGATTGTCGTATTGTGCTAAGCATCAGAGACAGACTGCCCTGCGTATATTCTCGTGGGTTCAATTAATAGAAGTTCATGCATTTGGAACTGTTACCTTTACCAACGTCGAATGTTAACCAGACGGAATGGTGTGTTTTGCCCCCAAAATGATACATTTTATCGACTTTCCTCTTGATTTATGTCAAATATAGAAAATCATACAACAGTGTAGTTTTATATTAAACTCCGCGTGTTATGTAGATAGTTTTCAACCTCATAATTTTCTAACAGTCTGCTTATTAAACTATCAGTTGAGATTGCGCGAGACTAACTCCCAGTCCTCCTCCCTCAATGCCTTTGCGCTAGTGGATACGTATGCATATAATGCAAGAATGCTGTAGCAGGAATAAAAATACAATTCTATGCAATTCAAGAGTCCTGCTGCACATTAACACAAATGTATTTCTGTAACGTTTCGTCTGGCCAGCATCAGACTTCCTCAGATAAGCATTTTACAACAACGACAGGAAAAGAGCAATCAAAACTGCTTGTCTGAGAAAGTCTGATTTAGGCCAGACGAAATGCCACAGTAATACATTTGGGTGACCGTACATTTGAACCCACATACATTTGAACCCATGTGTATATCCACTTCTCGCATCAGGATTCTTTATTTACAATTAGGCGGATGGGGGTTACTTTCTTCCAACGATTGTGTCTATATTGCTTTTACCAAACATAAGTACGAGTGTGTGTGACTATGCCTCAACTAGGATCTTGACGGAAGTTGCTACGACTAGTTTTATGTCACATACCTGCGCTATGAGGTAATGTAAGCTCCAGCCTGTAGGAGCCTTATTAAGCCTTCGGGTTTTTAACATTCAATTTTGAACTGTTATTCATTTTTAGTCGTTTTTAAATTTAAAAGCTTCTTCAAGAATTGTACCAGTTCAATAACATTTCTGGCATTCATTCACTAGTTCATTTTATTAATCAACTTAATATTTCTTACCAAATACATTTCATTTACAAGATTAAAAATGGAATACAATCATCGAATGAATGAACTTCTCAAAATTTGAAGAACTCACGCTTTCAAATTAACAAATACACTAATTTAAATTAATTGAACAGTTTTTTACCCTAATATTGCCTTTATTGTTGGGAAGGATGATAAAAATCGATATATAGGCTATAGTTATACTTATTTGTCTAAGCAACAACGAATCTAAGAATTAATAAATATATTTTCGATTTTCGGATTTTTTACTATCGTAGACCCGTTTATTACCAAAAAATTGAATGAATTTTTTATTTTATTGATAATGTTTCATTTATCAGCAATTGGAGCTGAATGGTTAGTATGAAGTCGGTCATCCCGTGCCGTGACGTTTTATCACAGTCTTAGGTTTCTTAAGTGCTTTTAAATTGAACTTACCATCCAATCTATTCGAGTTATTAACGTACGTATATCACCTGTAATTGAAATTTCGTATTTAACAGTTAAAAAAATTGTGTATTCAACAAAAATTTTAAATGTCTACCATGAGGCCATAACCTATTATGTGAAGCGTTGTGGCATTATTGTTGGAAGGGCCTCACAAATGAATATAGCTTGGGGGCTCTTGTCGTCTAAATTCAGCCTGCCTGCGCTACTTAATGCAATTTATCCTGATATTTTTCCAGCTCCAGAATATGGAATAGCTTGCATGAGAATGTGGCCACCGTTGACTCGAAGTTATGTGATAACATTTACATCGATATATTTTATTGCAATGGTAGCAATGTTTGGATTGCTGATTTCTACCATTTGTAAGTTTTGCAAGATGTATACACCCAGAAAATCAGATACAAGAACAGAAACGAAAACCGAAATCAAACAATTCCGGAAAAAAAATATTTTACGACGAAAGAATTCTAGAAAAGAATCTTTAAAAGCAGGTGAAAACATAACATTTTGCTTTCCTCGATAACACTCCAGTGCATTACAAAACGAAGATACTATTGGGCAAGCTGGTTTCAGAATACCAATAGACCACTTTATAGTTGGTGATAAACTAACTGGGCGTAATAACTCGGAAAATGGGATATTAGGTTCAACACGACCACTAACCCAGGGTGTTATATAGTCGATAACACATGCCGAGCTATAAAGATTTCAGTTTTTTTTTGTTTTTTGTATCAAATCTTTTGATGACTTGTGCAGATTTATTGGATCATAAACCTAAAATAGTGGTTTCCAACCATTTGCAATGTAGTCTTCCCTTTGCGTATTTTGGATATCTTCATTCCTCTCTCACTATGCATAAAACTATATTTCAATTCTTCTTCTAATTTTAAAGGATTTTTAGTAAGTGAAGTGCATTACAATATTACTAAATATTATTTATAACACACCAATATCCTGGAGTTAGTCTCTCTGTTAGGGTTAGTGATAAATTGACTGTTTTTAGACCCAACGAACAGTCCAGCATGCGAATAAATAAATAGATAAAATATATAAATAGTGAGCCCATATATTTTAAATTACACTTATTTTAATGTCAGATAAAGATAAACAATAAATATGGTGTTTTCAGCGAAAGAAATCTTAAACTCAAGTGATGAGAAGCCTGGCCAGAAATCAACATCTAATTTTTTGAACGTATGTTAAAACTTGTTAACCTTATAGCCTACCTATACGGTATAAATTACATATCATTTTTGCGAAGCGAGAAATGAAGTTAATCAGAAACCAATTCTTTGACTTCTTAGCGTCCGGTTTTAACTACAGTTTTCTCCTTGATCCGAGCGCGCGATAACGGATATTTCCTAGAAAATTAATTTTAAATTCTGGTATAGCAATCATTCTCACAAATGATTCAGTACTGTCGTAATTCAGTAGCAAAATTGAAAACAATGTTGACTACATTATGAATCATCAAATGTCATTTTCTGCATTCTGTATATCTTCATTGACCTATACTTACGTGATAATGTTTTTAGTATGGTATCGGTATTCATGATGTGGCACACCTAGAAAGCTTTTTCCTATTTATTCACCAATTTCTAAGAGTATTTGCAAGTTTAACTAACAGAAATATATTTCAGAAATCGAATACATTGAATTTGAAAAGGACCCAAGTCACTGTAAACAGCAAGTAAGCTAACCGCTGTGTTATTTTGTTTTTTATTAATGTAATTTTTAAATAATTCTTCATGACAGGGCGGTCCAAACCACACACATTTCGTGCGACCCGAAGAACAATTTAAGCGTATTCCAACTTAGGTTATGATCCCGAGATTTTAACCCTTCTCCTAATCCCGATATCGAGAATGATGTTTGTTAAAATCACGAATATCAATGTTGTATCTACAAACGTCAAGACGGTGCAGACAGGACCCAGCCGATGAGATGAGTCGCGATTTTCACCGTAAGCTCGCATCAAGCAACTCCTTTTTTGGAGAGACGTTTTGTGTCTTTATTTTAGTAAAAACCCTCTGTTTTCCCTAACCCTAACCCAGTGGCGGCGCGTCAATAGCGCCAACCGGGGCAATGCCCCGGTTGTTTTTTCGGTATAATAAAAAATATTCGAAAAATACCTCAATATCGGTTGCACAGACTGTCTACACTAGCCATATTCTCCCGACATGGTTCATTTTTCGCTCGCAAAGCCTTCGCCGAACGTCGACGGGGCGACGCCGATTTTGCCCCGGTTGCTCATTGTATATCGTATTCTCTCTTTTATCTTCCACTCGCCGCGTTTGTCTCGTTTGTTTTCTGTTTCTTTTACTAAATCATCGGGGCCGATCGGGGCTAGCCCCGAAATTATGACAACACAATGCCGACGTTTCTTACAACAACGTGTTGACATATTCACGCATTCCTTCTCGTTCGTTGGTTGCTTGAAGAGTTGATAGTTTCCTCGCCTTCGTTTTTGTCGCTTGTTTCGCTATTTGAATCAGTTAGAGACCTTTAGTCCATTTGCTTTCGATTTTCCACATTCCTTTTAAGCTCCTCACTTCTTTCCGGCTTCGCATTTCTTAGCCTTAGACCTCATAATGAATAAGGTTGATGCACTACTTCGCACTCCGTTTTCGCAGCTGCCGCTGGAACAAAAATTAGAGGTACAACGTCTTGGGCCTTATCAACCAAAAAATTGTTCACTGGAACAATCCCATGACGGAGGAAAGCGTCGGCGTACATTCTGCGCAGAAACTTGGTATAAAAAACACGAATGGTTGTGTTACAGCGAGGACAAAAATGCACTTTTTTGTTTTTATTGCCTACTTTTTGCTACCGCCCGTGACTCACGTTGGTGTAAATTTGGTTTTAGAGATCTTAAACATCTTTCCGAGCGTGCCAGGGATCATCAATCTTCTATGGAGCATCTGGACAATGCAGTAAAATACCGAACATTCGGAAATGTTAATATTGCAGCACAGTTGGATGAAGGACGCGCGGTTTCTATTCGTCGGCACAACCAAAACGTCGAGAAAAACCGCCTTGATCTCGGTCGATCGATAGATGTTTTGAAGTTCATTGGTTGTCACGAGCTGTCCCTCCGTGGGCACGATGAACGGGCTGGCTCTTCTAATAGAGGGGTATTTTGGATATGGTGGAATACACCGAATCCCTAGATACAGTATTGAGAGATCATCTTGATGCCGCAACTGTTTCGAAAGGGACATCTAAGGATATCCAAAATGATTTGCTCGACTCAATGTATAAAATTTATTTACAACATTTGACTCTGGAAATTGAGAATTGCCAGTTTCTTTCGATTCAGTCTGACGAGACAACTGACATCACGTGCGTTTCCCAACTGGCTGTGATTTTTCGGTTTGTGAAAGAGGGTAAACCTACCGAGAGATTTCACAGCTTTGTACCAATCGTTGATCGCACGGCTTGCGGGATATCGGCTGTACTGAAAGAAATGTTACAGCCTTACAACGCGAAGTCAAAATTGATAGCTCAAACTTATGACGGCGCGGCAGTCATGAGTGGGTCGAAACATGGTGTTCAAGTTTATATAAAAGAAGATTTTCCTCATGCGCATTTTTTACATTGTTATGCACACCAATTTAACCTCGTTATTAAAAATATGTGTCTTGATACCCCTCTCGTCCGTATATTTTTTGCAAATGTTTCGGGGTTTTCTTCATTTTTTTCGCCGAAGCGCTCTGACCTCCTTCGCCAGATATGTAGCCGCCGTCTCCCAGCTTGTGCACCAACACGTTGGAACTTCCAATCACGCGTGGTGCAGGGCGTGTCCGAAATTAGGTCTGAGCTCATTGAGTGTTTCAATGGCATTCAGAGCTCTCCGGTTTGGGACGAACGCGCTGTGAGGGAGGAGGCAGGTCTAAAGCGTCTGCTAGAAGATGGTGAGTTTTCATTTTTTCTCGCTTTTTTCTCCACAATATTCTATCACGTGGATGTATTATACGGTGCATTGCAGTCAAGGCTAATGGATGGAGCGTCTGTGCAGTCGTGTATTTCAGACTTCTGCGATGCTGTATCTCGTATCCGGGAAACAATAAAATACGACGACACATGGAGTGCTTCTTTACGCCGCGGGCAAACAACGCAGCGTTTGATTTTGTCTGCAAAGGAATGCTGTGACATTCTGGTGAATCAAATAGGCGATCGTCTGCGCACTGAACACCTTGCCGCGTTCTCTTTGATGAACCCCAAAAATTTTTCAAAATTTGCACGTCAATTTCCCATCCATTTGTTGGCTACTGTCTCCAAATTTTACCCCATGATAAACGTGGGTAAATTGGAAAATGAATTGCGATGTATATACACCAATCAAACTTTTTTGAACATCACATCAACTTGCGCGCTCTATGGGTGCCTCATAGATAACACTCTAGTAACTACCTTTGCGGCGTCTGCAAAATTTCTGGACATCATTTTGACGACGCCTATTTCTTCCGCCGACGCAGAGCGAACATTCAGCACGCTGAAGCGTATTAAAACGTATCTCAGAAACACAATGAAGCAAGATAGATTAAATTCCTTGGCTGTTTTATCCATTCACAGAGACGTTATTTCTGGGATGCATGACTTTAATCAGCGCGTTATTGAGCATTTTGCTTCCAAGAAACCGCGGCGTGTTGCATATATGTTCAAGCAGTAGAAGTCTAGCAGCATATATATCTATGAGTGAGCGACACATGTCCTTATCTTTGCATTAACTTTCCTTTCTTCATAGTAACGTTTTAAACCTTATTTTAGGTTTTGTCTGCTTTCCCGAAGTTTCTGTTAATATGTCATTGTATTTATCTGGGTAAATGTTGCCTTTCCTTTTGAAAGAGGTTTCAAAATAAACTATGTCTATATTTATTAATCCCTTGACTTGGACCTGTTTTAAAGACACTTTCTTATCGTTAAAAATTGTCGCTTTTGCCGATTGGTTGTTACCGATGGAATGGTTTTTATACTCATAAAATGATGGGAGAACTTACAGCGCTCATCCTGTCCCCGTAGATGGGGGTGACTTGGTCCCGCAGTAGCTTGCCCCGGTTGTCAAAATGACCACGCGCCGCCACTGCCCTAACCCTCTGTTTTCAATCGTGTTCCACGTGACAGCAGCGACAAAACGCAGAGCTGACTTAGCGCCGCGCGATCCATTTGTTTTCATCTAGGTCGCTAAATCCTAACTTAGACGAACTTGGTTGTTCTTTGACGATAGCAATAGGCTATAAAATTAGTCAAATATAACAATTCATCATAAAATGAGTGTCAACAGAACGGTAACAAAGGAAAACTGGCAGGAAACGTATTTTCTCGCCCACAACGGTAAACCACTGTATCTGGTGTAGTCAAGTCAAGTTTATTTTTTCCAACCAGTAAATAAAAAACAAATAAACACAGAAAATACGAGAAAAAAAATATCAGCCACGAAAGAATATAATTTGGAGCAATATTAAAAAACTCAGCACGAGATAAGATACCACGGTACTTCTCGGAAATCAGTTTTAAAGAGACCTAAACAAGGCTTTATATATCTCCTTTGAAAAAAAAGCCACCCATGTAACATAACAACGAGATTGTTGGAACGGTGGAATCTCATTCTTCAATATATATATTTTTAAAGTAAGTAAACTCGCAATATTTTGATCAATTTTGGGTTTTCTTCGACTGCGGCCCGCGAGACCCCCTCAAAAGTTTTTGCAACCTTGGACCACCCTGCTTTATGGGACTATTCTGTCTGCAGTGACAATTCAATTCCAATGCGATGACGTAACTACAGTATTGCGCATACAACTATATTGATTCTCCCAGTCGCCTATTTAATAATATATATATATTTATATACATAAATATCATTTAGACAAAATCCTCTATTAGCCAAATTTATTTGATTAGAACGAATATTTTTTTAACGTAAGTAAATTGCATGCCACTAATTATTTCACTGTACCCCATTTTACGTCGACAGACTTGAAAATCTAGTTAATAGTTTCTGCATTTGGGTGACGGTGTATAAGAATTACGTACTTGCTTAGGCATTAATATTTAAGTCAGGCAACAAACGTAAGTACATTCATAGTTGTTTATTGTTTTTTCAGGCGTCAACGTCGACCGCTTAGTGACACAGTGAAACTTCTTATCGTGATGACTTTGGCGTTGTTTTCATCTGTAACTCCAATGATGCTTTTGTGCTTTTTTGATGTTATAATTGATCCAGGTTAAAGATCTATTCAGATGTTATACAAACAGTTATAGAACAATAGTTTTTTCTAAACATGCTGATCTTAGCACACACCCGTGTGAACGTGAAGAGCCTGAAATATGCAAATTCGTTGTATATATTCAGCATTCTACTAATTATAATACAATATTTACGTGACCAAAGATTTTAATTTACAACCAGATGTGGGCATGTACCATTTAATATACTGAACAATATTTTAAAAAATAAACATATTTTCAGGTCCTACGACTTCACATTTTTCTCTCACAATGGCAATGACCTTCATATACGTTGGATGTCTTCCATTCATTTTGCTCAAATACATGGGTGGCCTTCGTAAAGCTTGTATAAAAATTTTAGTAAAGTGTCCGTGTTTGCACACCACTGTTATCAACGTCAAGCCAAGAACACTTAGACCGGCCTGGGCGTCGAACAGTAGAAGATCTGCTAAAAAGAAACGAAGTAGTACTGCAATAGGCACGTCTAAAAGTATAAAATGCTCCGAAAACGAAGAAAATATTTTGAAAGTAGAAGAAAACACTTCCGCCAAGCAAAATGAAATTGAAAACACGGCTATGTCTACAAATACACACCACGTAGATGTATACGAGGTTTTCGCAGAAAAAATTGTTAATGAAATTCTTCAAGTTATAGCAACGAAAACACCAGTCCAAGTCACTTGACTAATATTCGCGATATTCTATACAACTATACCCGTGATATATTACTGGTGTCAGTAAGAAACACCAATCCAAGATATATCCACCATGACAAGTGAATGGGCTAAGGCTTTGCTTTCGAAGGAAACGTATTTAACGAACACAAGGGTAAATATGTATATGGATTTATAATACAGCTGAATTCACGTATTATCATGACGCTGACCGTCAATATCGCTACTCATCATTGGTTAGTATTGGACAGTGATATATATATATGTACTTTCTCGTGAGCTCCACCTTGTAGAATAAACTAAACGGCACAACAACGGCTAACACTTAAGTTCCTGGTAAGAATATTGAAAAATGCCGATTCTGTTAGATATTGTTATGATTTAATTAAGAGCTTGGCGTATGTTGAAAATACTTAAAGTCGTGACAAAAAAAGCAGAAGCAACAAACCTCGCAAATCATCGTCATGAAAATTAACTTTCCTTTCAACTTTAATCCATATTCATCATTGTGACTAAACGCTTTTAATGCATGATCTTTCTCGAGCATTAGTCTGTGTCTCATAAAGTCATATAATTGACCAGAAATAAAGTTCAAACTTCATTCATATTATATATTTAGACATATCACCGAGAAAAATATTTATGTTTCATCAGAACTATATTTGTGTTTTATTAAATCAATATATATTGTTTATTTGCATTCTATTTATTGTTAAATCTGCATTAAAAATATATATAGCAACACCTTTTTCATATTGTTTAAATCACTAGATAAGGAAGTCACCCATGTCCGCCGACGGTAAATGTGAACATATAAACTTGAAAACCAGGCTTTACAATAGTCTACGCTTCGTTCTCTTAAAAAATCCCTTAAGCCCCTGAACTTTTATTCGGACAACGGGTACTAATTTATAGCTTTGATACCCTAGTCAAATAGTTTTAAATTTTTAAAACAGCATAAACAGTTCCAACACACCTGTATATACATATACCAGACTCGGCCAAGGGACGTCCAGCAAACGGTATCTAAACCCTGATCCCACCTGCTGTTGTCATATATTTCTGGGTAAAATGAATTCTATATCGACAATTGCTGTGTATTGTGTGGTTGACAAAACAACTGACAATACAACTCATTACAGCTAAGCTGTACCGCCGCCATGATCGATCGTTTATGTATTATAATATATATATCATTATAAACCCTTGGCAAGTTCGTATGCCAACGCCAAGCCACCTATATCTTAGCGAAATGAGCTGTACTTTTCTTAGCGAGGAAGCTTTGTGTACCGAGGTTTCTTACCTAGGCAAACATCGTTTCAAATTGCATCTTCTCAATGTCTTAAGCCGGTGCAAGAGGACTATAATAAAACTTGATCGATCTTCGATGTGACTGTATCAGACGAAAAAGTCTATATATGAAACCGAACGACTTCTACTCTTCGCTGAGTGATGCCAGGTTTTTCATATGTCCCGAAGATTGCAAAGAAAACATCGGAGTGGAAATCTAAGTATTCACTTAGATATTATGAGACATGTTTTCTGGATTTCTAGACAAAGCAAAGCTCCCAATAATATCATCGTTTTTTTATTTTTCTAACATTTCCTTTCCAATACAGACTGGAACTAGTGTGGCCACTTGTATGGCCCATAGACTACGGCAGGTGATCCGTTGCTCATTGAGCACTGAGAATGAGTGTCGGTCTTAACAATTCGAAATCATCAAACATGACACATTCTTAAAAATACAGCTGATTTACAGAAAGCAAAAGTGAAGTTTTTTTTTTCAAATATAAGCCCAGAAATTTGAATTGCATCGAATATTGCTGTTTATGCACTACATAAAATAAAACATCTCTTCAGGCGGAAACTCCTAAGTCTTATCTACAATATTAGCAATATACCACTGATTTCGTTTTTGCAGTTATACATAGTGTTCATTAGTTCATAGTGTTCATAGTCGGCATTGAGCTGCGGCCCTATCTACCACCGATTTAATCCGGTCTCACTACCTATATGAATAGTAAATGATGTGATCAAATTTATATCTCTCCACCCCTTAAATGAAATTCAAGTGGATAGATATTAAGTAATATTTTCTGATCTATTTATCATATATGAATACCAATTTTTGAATAATAAAATTACGCATTTTGTGGCGTGGCCCAGTCATACTTTAATAAACAATAGCTAATATAGCATCACTTAGGTATAAAATACGCGGGAGGTATCTGTAGATGTCATTGTTTGCATCGTCAGTTCTAGACGAAATTACTCATTATACCTCTACTTATACTCATGTGACGACATCTTGAGTGGGTGTCAGACGCATTAAATCATTTATTAGATGTTGCAACACTCACGTGAAAAGCAAAAAGTAATATATATATATTTATATATGGAAGTTGGATGGCCATTGAATTACGAGATTATTATCAGTTCATAGAGCATTGTTTCATCATTACATGTCATAAACAAAGTCATGAAGAAAATAACCTAGCACTAGATGAGTCTGATATGAAAATTTATATAAAATGTTGTCAGCTGTCATCGTTTCGTTAAACTTAATCAGACACAGACAAGACGTAGCTGCTCGGTTTAATTTACAGTATGGAAGATGTACCGCACAATTCATCATCAACTACGTTATGCCCCAGCAAAATAAATTCAGTCGAGATATTATGGATATCGGGATTCGCGAACTCTATAACAGTGAGTATAATAATATTATTTTTTTCATGGTATAGTTTCTTCCTATCCAACAATTTCTTGATTAATACATCCTGAAGAAGCTACTATACGCTTGATGATATTATTTCTCGTTGGAATATAGATATATTATACTGTTATTTCCCACAGCCAGACCCAAATTGTGACCACTTGATCATCGAGCTCATTTAAATTAATTACAGTGCCTGGATTATACAGAGTTTTGTATTTATCACGAAATAGAGGAAATCTAATAAGCTGGATTCGTCTCAAAATGCTATGTCAAAGTTATATCTGTCAATATATTTACCAAATAGAAATGTTCTCTAAAAACTAACAACTATAATTATTTTGGAATTCAATCTTCTATCATCAGATTCTTATAAATCTATCATTTATTCTGGTGTTGTCAAGACGTCGACAAACACTAAACTTTGAAAATCTTCATGCTGTGAACTTGCTGCTGTCAACGATGGTGTTAAGTTCGGTCGCATTATTCGATTTTGCGATGATTGCCGATTTTGATTCTACACACTTGGAAACAAGGTAGCATGATTAACTACTAGGCAATCGATTTTCTTTTATTTTCATTATGAATCTATGATACAATATGAACAAGCATTGTGAAAAGTGACCACCTTTTATAGCTAAACATAAAGATGCGCCAAAGGAACTCTTGAATAGTGGACAAGAGTTAGCGAAGAGAACGCAGTTTTAGTCAGTATCTAGCCCTAGAATATCGTCAAATATTTTTGCTGAAATTTTGTGCGTTTTAAATTCCTAAAATATATTCAATCAATATTGATGTGTAGTCACACCTATATCTATTTTTCAGCTACGCAGACTTTCACATGCTGCATCTTCAACTCCTTGGATTTATAAGGGCCCTTCGTCTTTCTTTGATTTTAACAATTGGGCTCAGTTTATTGACATTAGTTTATGGACAAAGGCGACATTTTCGAGTTGATGAAAAAATTGGAAAATTGGTGTCCAAACAATATTCCTTCCGTCAACGGCCAGCTAATACGAAAATGGCAATGAAGGTAACATGTTTCACGCCTTTTAGGCAAATCCAATAACTTTTGCCACTTGAATAGCAAGATTTATAAGCTTTGTCGAAAATGCTCCAATGATAGTTTGACATACACTTAAAACATTTTCTCTCATATATTTATGAAATCTTTATTAGAAATTCTACAAGCGAGAAAAATTCAAAGCAATTTTAGCTGTGGTACTTTGCTGGCTTCTTCCACTGTGTTTAGCTATTCCAGTGCCTGCTGGTTGGAATTGTATTTCAAAACATCCCTGCTTCTCCGGATATTTTAGTCTTGCGCATGATTTATATACATCTTTATCAGGTAAGTGAAAAACATAGATTTAGTTTATATTTGTTTGCCTAAAAAATACTTAAATAATACGGTATGGCATAAAGTTGACTCTTTGGCATGCATAGAACCGGGATAGTCTGTAATAAGAATATCAGAATTTATACTCCCAGTGCTTTCCCGAAACATTACTGTTTTTTTTTTTTGCAGATGATTTCGAATTTGTTTGCTCATTTTTCTGGCCACCTTTAACCACAAATTTTGTTATTACAATTACAACATGTTGGATCGTCAACAATATAATCACGTTTTCGGCCCTTATTTTCCTCGTTAAATCTCACTTTGACAACACGGAAACGAAACAGAATACTGCTTGGAAGTTCAAGTCACTTAAATCTTCTATTAGAGGAATTATTATCATCTGTGTATCTACTTTCCTCACAAATTCTCCATTTGTTCTTATATTATTTTACAACGCTGTTGCACAACTCGGTAAGTAAAAAAAAATATACGTAGTAACAAAAAATATTAGCATGTCATAATGGATCGTGCCCAATATTAGATGGGGCTTCTTAAAAGTCTGCCTAGAACGCGGTCGACAATTAAAAAATCCTCTTTTTTTACCCAATAAGCCTCGTCGAAATAGTGGCATATTGGATATAAAAAATAGGTACTCCCGTAGTATGTGTACCAGGTTAAGGTTAGGGCATAATTTTATTCTGATTTACCTTATTTTAGTTTTTTTACAAGTTCGGGAACCGTCTGTGTTAGCCGAGTGAATATACCCCCTGCCCATAGGTTTCAGTCCCTCTACACAACTGGATGTAAAGTAGGCGAACAAAATTAGTTCCCACCTATTGGTACACATACTTCTGGAGCGCCATAAAATATGCTTAAAGTATACGGTGCCAAAACAATTTGCTCATGCTACTCAATTCTACTGAAATTGTCTTTGTACTTGTTTATTTTCAGAGATTTACGAAACCGCTGTTCAAGTCGCGGTCCTTTTTTCATATATTCACATGCCGTTCATTCCTTTTATACTATTGGGTTATCTACCTGGCGTCAGAAGTTCTATGTTAAACGCACTCACAAAATGTTCTTGCATGTGGAAAACAACTTTGGCTAGGAAGACTGACGAGCAAAGCCAAATTCATAGTCCGGATATGGAAGACATACCCTTGACAGAATACTGGCATTTGATGACGCTCGGATCAACCCATGTAGGACCAAGTCCAAGTACCCCTGAGGAAGAAAGATTAAACAAAGAATTTCTGCAGTAATAAGTTAAAATTGATTTTATACAGTTGTGGTTCGAATTTATTGAACATTATATTTTCAAATGACCGATATAAAATCTGCTCAATTTTGTTTTACTGTGCACAAAGATTCGTTACCGAAAAATTGTTGAGAATAGATTAAAATTAACTGGTTAAATGTACAAAAATTGTTCTTTAATACAGCTTTTTTACATAGGCAATTGTCAATGAAACCAAAATAGAAAACCAGGGATCAAACAAACATTAAAAGTGCCGAGTAAAAACTGAGCCTGGAATTATTCTAGCAATTGCTCGAATATATTTCACACGGAATTTAATTAAATTCTAACTTTTCATTTTGGAAGGAAATTAATTATACATATATAACAATACAATTTGATTACATTTTTATAGCCAATAAATGGATACTAACAAAGCCAAATATTGTGCTTTGATAATGCAAGCAACGGCGTATATTCGATGTGATAATTGCATGGCCCATACTTGTAGGAATAATTTCATCGATCATCGCATGGAAGAATAGCCAGTTTAATTTAGCAATTCGCAACAAAAGAAACCCCTTCTTTGTCTCGGTTTAATGGTTTGCCAATAGGCAATTTGTACGAGATAATAGAATCCTATTGTTATTCATTTTCAGTCGGTATAAAACCAACAATAGCCGGCAGTCCGTTGACAGTAGTTCTGTTACACAGTCGTGTATTCTCAGGGAAGTTTGAGTAAACAACGGAGTATATGGAATAGTTGAAAATAAATAGCCGTGAATGCTTGTTAAAAAAACATAACTCGTATAACTTACAACGTATGTTTTTTCTGAGTATAGATAATTAATTCTCAGTGCCGTTTCCGATACAAATATTGTAGTTAACTCAAGCAGAATACTGGTCGAACTCAAACCTGAGTTTAGTCCTGCAACCTAGTCACGCTCATAATATGCTATAGCTATTTGGCGATAGACAATGTGGATTGGCAGATATATATAGCTCATCGTAGATTTCATTTTGTTATTGTGCTTTGACGTCACCAAAGTAAATACCTCGACTTAAGAAGAAAATAGTTTTCTATTATTATATAAGTAACTAATTCAACAAAACCCAATTCAGAAAATAACCACTTAATATTTCTTGATATATCTAAAATATATCCGTTTCAGAACGTGAAAATTTAAATAATTATTCAAAGCGGAGAGGCCATCGACAAACACATCAGTTCGTGATTCCGTAGATTAAATATCGATTTTGTAAGGTTTATGTTTATATTACACTTGAGTTTTATAGAAATGTCAAGTGTTTCATTGACTGTAGGGGTAGGTTACATTAAGCTTAGTCTTACTATTCTATTTCCATTATGGAATATGATTGTCTTCCGAACACTTAGGACCATGGGTCAGTCAGGGACAGAATTCAATTTCGTGTTCTCACGTCACTTACTCAACGCTAGTCAGAACTGAACAGAAGTAGATTAATTTGAAATAAACCGCGTTTAAATCGTAGACCCGGAATATCAAATGGTGACATTATTGCGCCATCAACTTCGATTCGGATTTGAATTCCAAGTTGGAATTTAGCAAATATATCAATCATATTATGACGCAACAAAGTATAAGCAAGATTTCTTTAGAAAAGACCGAAACATATTTTTATTATAGTGGTAGTCATAATCATCCTCATTAGCTTTGACTTTAACGGACTACTGTTTGCAAATAGAATGTTTCTGATCTAGCTTACACGTTACACCAATGTGAATGACAGCCGACGCTAATCGTACCGACAACGAAGAAGAGCCTGATCTACCAGAAAGATTTACAAAATCCGAACTGCAGTTATGGGCTGATTCGAGGAACAAAAGAGTAAACACTTTGCAATCCTTCTGTAGGATAGGATGGAAGCGCTATAGGCTACTTAATTCATAAAAAAAATAAATGAGTGTGAAAACAAAATTTAAGCTCAGTGCAAGACTTCCTTCCTTCGACGACGTAGAAATGTATCGAACAATAGGTTCAAGTCACTGTGTCTCTTGTTAAATATTGAACTTATTTTCAGGAATTACCTCCCACTAATCAGCACCATGTAGAATGTGATAAATATGGTATTCTCCACGACTCAGAACAACATCAACAGGGATTAAGTACTTTCATGAAGCGATGCAGGCGTGATATCATGTGAGTAGATATAATCGATGGACATTTTTTTGAGATATATTCGTTTGCTGAGGAATAGTACAGACCTTACAACTATCTATAAATTCTCCAGGAGCCATTATTCTACGCTTTTTGTTTACATTGATCTCATCATAAATATTGTTTTGCATATGCAAACAACTCCAAAATCGACAATTGATTGTGTATTTGAATATTATAAATACCATATAAATATATATATATTAAAGAAAATATCAATGATTGTGAAAAGTAATTCACTTTTAGCAGATAATCCTCATTGTAATTTAGGTACGCTTTTTGTCCCATTTTCTGGTAGTATTTTAACACAATTCTTGCAACCCGTCCACTAAAAGACGATCACTTGTTGAACGTGGTAGAAATCTTACTACAGAATTAGGTTAATCAAGACTAATTGCTACTATTTAATTGCGTTTCTTTTCGTGGAACAAAATTCAACTAGATGAATCATAAGAAAAATTATCATCAAGTCGAATCCATGTTAATACCTAGTTGTGATATATATATTTCAGATTAAAACGTCCACGACCTGACCTTACACAAATGACAAGTTCGAGAATGCCGGCTTATCTCCAAGATATTCAGAGATTCAACCCCGAATTAATGAAAAGAATTCATACATCAGAACATTGCACATTACCCACGAAATCAAGTAAGTAAAACAAATTTCCCCATTTGGTTTTTGCTCTTCAAAAAATGAAGCGATAGGCTACTTTTAAGCCTATGACAAAAATTAACTTTACTTCAACCATTTGGTAACAAGACTGCTTTTTCTGCGTCTGACAAATCTTTCTGACAACGATAAAAGTCCTACACACCCTTTTCGGAATTTTATAACTGCACCTTTTTATTATCAGGAGCAAGTTCATGTGACCTGCACTAAGTTATAAATGGTTTTATCCAGTGCAACCTTTTGTTTTCATTTGGTAACAAGACTGCTTTTTCTGCGTCTGACAAATCTTTCTGACAACGATAAAAGTCCTTCACACCTTTTTCGGAATTTTATAACTGCACCTTTTTATTATCAGGAGCAAGTACATGTGACCTGCACTAAGTTATAAATGGTTTTATCCAGTGCAACCTTTTGTTTTCATTTAAAAAATCAAATTCACAGTAATAGAAGACGAGAAGCGTGTTATTCACGGAGAATTAAAGAAACCGTGGCACCAAGGCTTAGTTCTTCGTCAAACCGCAAATCTCATTGATCCTTCGTGGGGAAGAGATAGAGAAAACCAATTTGTAGAAAAAATTCAACGAAAAACAAAAGAAAAATCTGCACATGTTTTAATGGGAGTCCTACAACAATGGCGAAAATCACAAGAACGAAAAGCTAGCCCGATGTCACCTCAACCGCGTTCAACACCAGACAACGGTGAAGATAATGACGATGCACAATTCGTCGATCAGGAAGAGGATGATTCCGAGAATAAAACTCAACAAGAACAAACTGATACACCAATAGAAAACGCTAATAAGTCAGAACTCTTGAGCGTCCCGGAAGAAGACGAGATTGATCAAGAAGATGGCATACTGCGACATGGTTCCAGATAATGCGATTCATTCAGCGTCTATACAATATTAATTGTGCTAAATTAAATGCAAACGAATAACTCGCAGATTGAATTACCTCTGATTACAGTAGCAAGACTAATTTGAAAATGTTTAATACAATGTTAAGTTGTGAATGACGAAATTTACACCAAACCAATTCGTAACCGTGTGTAACTAACGTTTATATAAATTTGAGTTCAATTTTGGCATAAGATTTATGTATCGGCTAGAGGTAAAAAGGCGAGTATAAACATGTAATTTTTTTATTTGAGTAAAAGGAATGGTACCGTGAGGTGTGACCGCACGTTTGTACCCGCTAATTTTCAAATGTAACTATACTAAAGACATTTGCACCTGCATACTTTTGCAACTTTAGGGATAAATTCGTTATTTCAAGTAAAATTTATAAAAAGACTAAAAATTGCTTATTTCGAAATTCTCCAAATTCATAAATTAGATCGATAAAGTACCCGTTGTAATTATACAACAGATGCCAACCAAAAATATAATTGGATCGATGACATCAGATGCTAATTAGTATTCCAACCCGAATCGATAACCCTAATGAAATCGATATCACCATACGCGCATACGTATATAAGGTTTCAATTAGATATTGGAAAGGGCTATTGAAGAAGTCATGTATTGAGAGGTCTTGTATTAGGAGTCAAGTCGTCTGGATCGGTGTCGTGTCGTCATGTCTTCATCGTTTGTGCTCCGTGTATATCTACAATATTAAACTACATCAACAACGTTCAACACAGTGATTTCCCTACACCCCCCCCCCCCCCCCTAAAATTTCAAATACCCCCCCTAATTTTGAGGTGCGATTCTACACTGAGGGGTTCTAAACCGCAGTCTGCGGGCCAATTACGGCCCGCGTGACGATTCAAAATGGCCCGCCGAACTTGAGTGAAATAGTTTAACCCTTCATGTGGTACCTTTTGAGTTTAGATACCGTCTATTGTTACATCATTATCACAGTTTAAGCACGTTTATTTCGTAACAATTGGATTATTCCCGTATCTTATGTATACGTATGGGTATTAGGATTACACACTGCAGTATTTTAGATATCAGCCGTATAATAAGAAAGCTTAAAGATGTCACAAAACGAAAACTAGGCACTGAAAACAGACGTTTTTTAGATGAATGACAGCGTTTTTATTTCTTTATTGAAAAGAATCAAACTTCAGCGATTTGTCAGCGAAAATTAGAAATGTGTAACAAAACAAGCCATAAGTAGCCATTCATACAATGCCAGATGAGCAAGTAACTTCATTAGTCACTATCAGTTGCAAATTACTTGTTGAAACGTAGTAGTATATATTTACGGTTGAAAGCCGTGCTTGTTATCTATTCCCCGGGAATTCTATCAGCTAAATATTATAATTATTGATTTCATTACATAACAAACTGCAATGCTAGGTGTATCTAAAATCAAGCTTAGAGCCTATTTTGGTGCCTATTTCTCAAAAAACTTTCGGGGCGCTTGAGCGCGCCCTAACCCCAGCCGTGTCGTCCCGCACTTTTCCTCGCTCCCCTTTTCTGGCACTACAATTTCATTCTGCTGTGGATTTTGGCTCGCGTCAATCAACTTGGGGGGCCCGTGTACATCGTTTTCATACCATTTTTTTAAGAATACAAATAGCCTAGTTTTATCTCTAATAGCAAATTATTTACCACCCCCTAAATTTTGAAACACCCCCCCTAAAAAGAAAAGCTGGGGAACATACTGGTTCAACAACATGTTCCTATATGCTACATGTTCTTAACGGATGGCTAACAACCTCTGACATTTGCACCGACGATACCTTGAACTTATGGCATTTGCATCCACGTACACTTGCACCCACAGACATATGCGCCCTGGACATTTGCAACTACGGACATTTTTACTCATAAAAGTTTCCACGCACAGACATTTGCAACGTAGTACAATCATAAATCGTACAGTTACGTTTTAACCATCAGTCAGCACACGCTGGCAATTGTGTCAACGAAACTGGTAAAAAATTAATTCACCACGTTGATCACCATCGATGGCCAATGTTAAGCAGTTGTGCATGGGAATTTAGCTGAGAAAATAATAGTTAAACGTAAAGAAAAATAGAGAACGAAAAACGATTTAGTCTAAGCAAGTTTCTTACTGCACTCGCCCTGCATATACCTTGTACCTAAATTAGTATTGTTTCGATATAATGGTGTTCAACGTTGCGAGTCTGCTGCGACTGATTGAGCTAAGTTTGTGGAGGAAAATCCTTTATAATCGCGTGCAGTTTAAAAATCAAACACGTTCGTTGCTAGTTACAATATTAGGATGGCCACTATTTTATTTTAGAGGCAAATGACAAAAACTTCTTACTTTGAAGACTTGTGTCTATGAATGTAGATAAATGTTCACGGGTGCAATATCGGTAGTTGCGAATATCTGTTAGTACTTCGAAGATAATGAAACCAACCGGTACAAATAACGTTATATGGTGTGAATAGTTCTCAACTATAGTATATATCTGTGATTTCTCTTTTCATGAAAATACATATCCAAAGTCACGAGTCTGTTTCTAAATGTTAAAAAATACGCCAATAACATATCCTGACAACCTACGTAGATAAACAACCATGCTCGGAAAATCTGTCAGAGTAAGATAGAAATGTGCACGCACGCGGCTGGCTAGATTTCAATTGTTAAGTCTACATCAGCTTATCGCCGTTAAGTCTGTTTTTTGAATTTTCAATTTGGCTGTCTTGCCAACTTCTCCGACTCCACGAAGAACATCACGTACGGGCAGATATACAAAATACAAAGTTCCCGAATATCCCTTAAGACTTTCGCCAACGACTATCAACGAGGTGCAACTAGCATTCGGATAACTTTAGGCTTTCGTTATAAAGATTCTCCCTTGATGAAAATAATATCATAATCTGATAAACTCCAAAAACCCTAGCTATCGACGGCGAAAACAACCCGGGTCAACAAGCTAACCCCGAAAATAAATCATACTCAACAAGACATGCAGATCATTGAATATGTAAGACTTTGTTTTTAATAACATTGCATTCTAACGACATCGAAACACCATAAATAAATAACATACTACTGGTAATGATCGAAATGTGATTCTTAAAATACATATATATTGCATTTACGATAGTGTTTCTGCACAAAACTCAGATATTGAAAAGAACACGGATACCTTCACAAAAATTGTGTCCTGTGGACTGAACTTATTGAAACGTGCACCCGGTATTGCAATTTGCTATACAAGACTACAGGTTGGTCGCAAAAAATTATCACCGTAATAAAAATGTTTCAGTCATAAATGTTCAGCTGGAAGAAAAGCTTTTCGTCTATTTTGCAGAGAGTAAGCTTTGATGAAAACAATCTGGTATAAAATAAATCTACCACTTAAATACTGGGGAAATGTGTCAGGAATGCTAAAATTAATAATAATACATAAAATTTCGACCAAAAAGCATTGTTAATGTTATACAAAATTATTAACATAAATATGCCATAGAATTTTAGTAATGTTTCCTACAAGATAAAGCTCCCTTCCCAATATACAATCCAAGACCCTTTCCAAACAATTGGAAGGTATTGACATGCTCCAAAAGTCTCATACTCTATAGAAAACCGCAATATTCGCTGTTAAATGATAGGGATTCTTCATATATTCATCAAAATTTTGCACGAACTACCGATGTTTGTTTACACCATTCCTCACGCAACAACTATAGTTATAAATGAATTCAATATCATATCAACTTTCTCCATTTCGCACTTGATGTAATATATCTTTCAGTTGCTCTATCATCGCTGATCGTGGCACTAAAGACTCTTCTCTGGTTTTTATATCTCTAATTTTGATATTTCCTTCTTCTAATTCTCCACTACCGATCATAATAGCGACGGGGATCCCATTCTCTTCGCAATGCTGAAGTTGATTCAAAAGTTTTGGATTCTTTTTATTCGACATTTCAGCCTGGGATTAAAAATTATGTATCAAAAATAAACAGTAACATAGTTAAGTGCATCTATTCGTCTTGATCACTGTCAATTCAAAAAGCCAAAGACGCATTTTTTTAGGCCATGTAAAAAGTCATAAACTGCGTAACCAGTCCAGGAGAACTTGGCCGGGTAAGGGATGGGGTGAATTTGATCTGCCTTAGGGGGTAAATTTTACAAGCAAGAAATTCACACTTTTCTAGTGTGGCCGTTGAGTATGCAGCAGTTATTGTACATTATTGATTTCAATAGAATAATTCATGAAAAATGCTTCCTATACTTCTAATTCTAACATTGACAAATTTTAAGTGCATATTTCAAGAGACATTTTGCGACCTTGCATTTACAAACCGGTTCACTTCTTTATCACTATTTTACGCCAAAATATCGAAACAGCTTCAATAAAAACTACTAAATTAAAATACTAGCTATTTCGTGATCGTTTTTTTTTATTACATTATTATTTATTACTTCAACAAAACTAAAGTTCTAACGCGTGACCCAGCTTTTTTCCCGCCATCGTTTAGCTACTTGATCCATACCTAAATTCCGGAAGCATACCTTAAACAGACGCCTGATATTTTGAAACGAGTCAGTTTTTGAACCATGTTCAAAAAATCACTGCCATGTTCATTTGATGGCTGCATGCATAAGGGTCATAAAAGATTTTTTGAGTGAAGCCACAATGCCATTTGATGTTTTATGATATGCACTTGAGATGAAATATTGATGCATGTCGCAGAGACATGATATTTTTTTGATCTTAGAAAATTCACAGAAAGAATAAGATTTTTAAAAATAGCCTTGTTCTTTTACTTAATTTTTAAAACTGAATTCAACAAAGACCAAAAAGGGTAGTGAACTAGTAAGATATGGTCATCCCTAAATAAAATTTGTTTTAAAAGATATAACAAATACCTTTATTCCTGCTTGCCACAATTCTGCTATAATTTTCATTCGTTCTTTCAACATATTTTTTTGAGGAGATGCAACATATACTTCAGTTTCCGTTGTTCTGGAATTTGAATTTTCTGATCTGGCCTCCAATATCGCAAATACTCTTTCAATTCCAATACTGACGCCAACACATGGTGTCTGAAAAGAATAGGCATATTTTAAGTCGTCAATCTCTAACACTTACCCAGAATATATAAGTCACCAAGAGTATTCATTCATTCTTACTTAGCAAAATATTCCTTATTCATGGCATGCTTTATATCAGTGATTCCCAAAGTGGGCGATATCGCCCCCAGTGGGCGAAAACGATACAGAGGGGGGGGCGAAAAAGTTCAGGGGGGCGATAGGGGGGCAATTTCGCGAAACCTGTTTTATGTTCGGCGCACTTAATTCTGTACTCTGTGTGCATTCGCAGGTTTGAATCATGTGGGCGATTATCACACGCGAAAGGATTGCTGGACTCGTCTTCGCAGTAAGGTACGGTAGTTTGCGTATCCCAGTGGTCGGCAAAATACGGCCGGAGTAAAATAATCTGGCCCGGGACGATTCACTGAATGGATCTTTCCCCGACCTTTGACCGCGGAAAATTCTTCCCATACTTTACCACTTAAAAATTTTCGGTGCTTATTTTAAGAATGGTTTTGCGAGTTGTTGCCTGTAAAATGGGGTGTTTCAAACTATCATTCTAATACACACCATTCAACAATCTGATTTTTAAAAGTACCGATAAAGAATTTTAGCCTAGTCTATCACAGCTATTTCTACACTAATTTGTGATTGCTGTATTTAAACTGAAACTCATAGGGAGACAAAGTAATCATTGACTTATTTGATTTAAATTTTCGAAAAACAACTAAAAACTAACGAATATGATTTGAAAACGCGAAAATGAGGTAATGTTCACGACCACGCCTGCAAATCTGTCTGAGTGAGCGTGTCTGAGAGCCTGCGCGGATGCGAAAGGGGGCATTGTTACGTTTTTTACATCTTGCTGATTGGCCAATGTCACGAAGTAAACAAGGAAGTCTATGCCCGGGGAAACATCCAAACGGCGGTTTTGACGATGAAATTTTTTTATTTATAATCTACACTCGAGGAGTAAATTACATTTTTTTACGTAACAGAATTTATCGTGAGACACGTTTGGACTAAATTTTATTATATCCTAAAAATTCCATTGAACAGCTAGCTACTCGTTTAACGAGCCTACAATTTAATTATAATTAGACAAATGGAAACACGAAGAAAAGTTGATGCTGAGGGCAGGGGTTCAATAGCGCAGTCAATATTTGAATATATTGCAAAGCAATAAGGAAATGAAATTCATATTCTATTCGAGAGATTCATCACTGCTTAATGTTTGTAGGAATGTATCTTCTTAAAGAAAATCTTTATCAAAATTTCACAAATCATGCGAAAATATTCACTTCGATGTTTGGAAGTACATATTTGTGCGAACAATTATTTTTGAAAATGAACATTACAAAGAACAAGCAAAGAACTGGGATTAGTGATGCCCATTTAGAAAATGTTTCCATCTTGGCGTCGTAAAGCTATCCAGCGTGATGCAGCAACAAGACAGTGTCACATTGAATGTCATTGTAATATTTTTTTAATAAGACGACTAAGTTGAGTTCACGAATTGTTGCAGTTTTCGCGCGCTGTTCCGTTTTTGACTTTCAAAAAATATATGCGACCCGCAAAATACTAGCAACCCTGAATTTTGTCCTGCGAGCAACATAAAATTTGCCGACCCCTGGGCCATAGCCGATAGTCGGTCACGGCTTCTTCCACATCCGAGTCCATGAATCCAAAAACAAATGGCTGGTTAATTATGGACCGGTGATCAGACTGGAGGCCGTAGTAGAATGAGGAATCGGGGATGAATTTTACCGAAGGATTTTGGTGCAGGTCATCAGGCAGTACGAATGAATGGGATGTACGAAAATCATTATTATAAGTTTGGGAAAATTAACTTTGTTTTCATTATTCCAATGTGAAATGGGGTGAATTTAAAAAGTGAAATGCTATAAGACAAGAGTACACGGCGGTTTTTGAGGAGGTAGAACCCTGGATTCTTTCATTTCCGACCTATTATATGGTGAAAAAAGGGTTTCAGTCGTGTTACTATTGCTATCAAAACAACGAAATCGCCTTTCCACCAGTAAACGGGGTAATTTTAGATATAATAAAAAACTCGCTGACGAACACCAAGCTCATCTATCTCATAAAACACTATAAACTATAATTTGTCTTCTTATTTGGTCTGTAATATATTCGTTTCTGACTTTACATTTTTTTGTATTGCCGGGGGGCGATGAAGTTGTATAAACTACTTTAGGGGGGCGATGGTCAAAAAAGTTTGGGAACCCCTGCTTTATATAATTACTTCATTTTAGATACGAATTTTGAATGTTTAAAATAAAATTTACAGGAAATTGTAACAATTATTGATCTTCAACCAGTTTATTTGCCTTTGTCCCCATTAATTTTGGCGGAAAACGGAACCAATCGGTTGCTTGATCATCAACTGAATCTATGGCATCAATTTTCTAAATATTATGAACTATTCAAACCTGTCAGAAGCCAGAGTGCAAATCACATAAATCACTAGCTAAGTTTCTTTTAAAGATTGTACAAATAAAGGGAAGTTTCTATGCACATAAATAAATCTAAATTAGGCAAAAAAAGAATATAGTGATACCTAGGTAGTCAAACATAATTCATTGGGATTCATGTTCGACTACAGATAGTTTGAACTACGAATTTCTGTTCGAGTCCCACAGCATTTTTGATTCGAATATTTTGGTCGACTACCAAATTGTCAGAGTGTCTAGTCCATCAGTTCTCAACCAGTGGGCCATGGCCCACTGCTGGGCTACAAAACATTTTCAGGCGGGCCACAGACATCAAAAATTACGGAGTTACTGATAAATTAAGTAAATTTGATTGTAGTAGGATTAGTAGTAATGAATGATAATGTTGTATTTTGTTACTTGATGGAAATTTTTTTTTTTTTATTAAAGGTGAAGTGTCTAATTTTGAATAAAAAAAATTTTTTTTCTTGTAGTTTATCAATGAGAAAGTAAATGGGCGACAGAATTTTTTGTGCAACAAGTGGGCCACGAGAGAAAAAAGGTTGAGAACCACTGGTCTATTCGTTCGACTACCTAGGTATAACTGTATATTGAACAAGATTTGGGATTGGGAACCAACGATCTAAAAGGTGACTTCCTTGATTAATTTAAAGATAAAACTTTACACCTATCAAAAATTGATAGACACACCCAAAAATCATCAAATAATAGTTTTATCACTCACAGATTTTCCTTTTGGATCAAAACTTCCCACAAGACCATCATATCTACCTCCTCCTGCTACAGATCCAACTCCAACGGTTTCTCCTTTTTTACGATCTGGATCTTCATTCACAGAACTATCAGTCAGAACTGCTTCATAAATAACTCCTGTGTAGTAATCAAGACCTCGAGCGAGACTGAGATCAAATGAAGTCTAAAACAAGAATTTGAAAGATCAATAACCTAGTGTTCATTGAATGATAATTGTGATTTTTCCATGTGAAGATTAATAAAGTTATGATACATATTCTGTTGCCTAAAAACAGAATTGAAGTAACAAACTCCCTCAAAACTCAAGTAATCTTGGATTGTTTCTAAATTCATGTAATAATGTATAATGAGGTTTATATAAATGAATGAACAAACTTCTTATATATACTGATTACTTTCAAGTTCCAAGTATTAGAAAATCTCTATAGATGACGCTAATACCAGATGTGTATCGCCAGACACTAGATACCTGTACATATTCATTGACATAGTATGTTGCAGTAAGAAAATTTAATTAATTAAAAAACGATTGATATTCAAAAAGATTGTTTTTAGTTTCTATTTGTTTTCTGATAGAATGATTAATTTTGTTTGTTAAGAATCCAATTAAAAATTTAATATTTGGACTATTCTAATTTTGCAAATTCCTTGTTGAGAAATAAAAGTAAGAAGGATATGATTTTCAAAGTGGAACGAAAAATGACAAAACGACTCAATCATATGGTGAACCACATTTTGTACTGTCACCACGCAAAATTATACATCATTAATACGTCAGATGCTATGAGAAAAAAGTCTAGAACAGCAAACAAACAACCTTTCTACATACATTACACAAAAATGTTCCAATTCACTTCCTGACTAACCCTGATATTTATTAGACCTAAAGTATAGACAACGCAAAACTCACTTTATCCATTATGTTATACAATTCCAAATACTCCAACAATAATTTTAAATCATTCAATCCGGCTACAGCAGATTTGCTTTTAATAAGAAAGGAATCATTGAGCAATTGATTTACTAATTCATGAGAACCTGGAAAAAGATTGATTAATCAGCATAAATATTGGTGTATACTTGGTATAAATATAGGTGTACAAATTGGGTACCGCCACAAGGAATATCCTTGAGGATTTAAACTGAACAAACTTAAAATTATTCATGTATTTTTCTTAAAACATAAACGACACTCTTCAAATATGTGTACCAAGATGGCGGACACCGGAATGTAGAATGTGTACCAGGTTAGGGTTGGGCCATAATTTTATTCCAGTTTTCCTTATTTTAGTTCTATTATGAGTTCGAGGACTGGCCAAGTGACTCCCGAGTATTTGTACCTGAAATTATGGCCTAACCCAGGGGTCGGGAACCCATGGCTCGCGAGCCATATATGGCTCTTTTGGTGACGGCATATGGCTCCCAGAAAAATCTATTATTCTAAGATTAAGCTTACTATTGTTACTAGACTTCAAACTATTTTATGGCCAAATTTGGCAAAAAATTCCCAATACGTTTGACAACGCGGGTCCAGCGCATGTCTATGTTATGTAAGAGAATTACCAAACAGGCATTGTGACAAAACATGGGGATTCTGGAACATATATTGTGACATCACAAGGCGATAGAGTTTTAAAATACTAATGAGATGCCTAAACGAAAAAGGGTGATGAGTATCGTAGATTTCAACTTGGGCTGCATGTGAGCAACCGTTCAAGGCCCGCAGCGACAACATGCAGCATCAGAAGTCACATTAAATGTATATTGACATGGAATGTGTTGACTTTTGAGTAAACGTTTCAGGCCTAATTAAGTGAAGAAATGTTATATGGCTCGCACGGAAATGCAATTGAAAATATGTATATTTTAGGGCTCTCTTGACCAAAAAGGTTCCCGACCCCTGGCCTAACCCTAACCTGGTACACATACTAAGTTCCGGTGTCCGCAATCTTGGTAAAAAAAAGTTTTGCTACAGTGTGTCATTGCTACAGTATGTTAATTTAAATTTATTCTATATCAAATTGAATGTGAAAAAAGACTGAAAGACCACAAAAATGGAATATAAACAGTAAACACACCTAATCATCAGATTTGTCCAAATACACTGACAATATTTAATTACCTGACATTCGGACATAGTGGCCAATATGATCAGCTATTTCTTCTGCCAATCCTTTTTCCAACATTTCCTTTCGAACATCTTCCCACGGTAACTTGTCTAACTTATCAACTGCAGAACATGCTGGTCTGAATTTATCTGGAGGACACCCACAAGCTTCAAACACACCATCAAGTATACGTCGATCATTAACCTGAAAAAATTTTCATTTAGCAAACCTTGTTCAATCAAAGAATTCTCACTAGTAGATGACGTTATGTAGGGATAATTGTTATTAAACATGGATAATAAACACGAGCAAAATCATACAATTTTTGGAATATGAAATCGTAAGGAATAAAAAAGAATATTTCCATGTCATATAAATATGCACAATTAATTGCACATTCTTACAAAGAATTGTTTTGAAAAATCCAAAATCTAAGTCAAAATTAAATTAACAAACAATTACTAAGTAGATCATGAAAACACAAGTAAGTCAGTTACATTTAGTGGACAACTTAAATCAACAATTGTAATCTTCATTTATAAAACTTGGCCATATCCAATCTATAACAATTTTGTTTGTTGAAATGAGATGACGATTTGTGAGGCATGGCGATGTGGCTCATCATGCTAAATGTTAGGAATCTGCTCGCTACCGCACCTCTGATTACTCTGTGTGGGTTCGCAGGTTCAAATCCCATGTAGGGATAGTTATGTGCGAGAGAATTGCTGGACTCCTCGTCGCCATAAGACGGTTGTTGGATTGTAGTGTTCTATCAATCCAAATATATGGTCTTGTGTGTACTTGAAACATTAAAAGTACCAACCTTTATTTTAAATTCCCCCAACATGAGATCAGAAAGAATTTCATAAACAATACGTAGACACTCCGCATCAGGAATCATTGAATCATGAGGGCCAGCGATGTCAAAATCACACTAAAACAACAGAGAATAACAAAATTAAAAAGAACTAAGTGAAAAGCAATGTTGCTTTGAAATGAATGAATGTTGATTTGATATGAATTGAACAAAAAGAATTTGCTGGAGGATATAGGGTGTACCAAAATAAATGAAACCCATTAAATCAATTCCCAATTTTGTGGGTTTCATTTATTTTGAGACACCCTGTATTATGGAAGGTTGGAGATTTTAGGTGTAATTATAAAACTTTTTATAACAAGTATTTACGAGCGAAAAGCGTGAATAACCGTTGTTTAAACGAAAAACAATTGCAAAGTATCTTCTTCTTCATACTTCAAAGACACATCAAACAGTGTCCTATAATTCAATTGAACCATATATTTCAAACTACGTATTTTGGAGACAGCAGAGGCTGTAGTGCACTGAACAGATTTTACCTGGTAAAATTCTCTATATCGTCCTTTCGTCATGGCAGGCTGGTCTCTCCTGTACACTTTTGCAATATGATATCGCTTTATACTCTGTATCTTGTTCATTGCCAAATATCTTGCAAAAGGTACCTGAAAGTGAATTTTTCCTAATTTGCTGCTCGAAGAGAATTTAAAAATATTGGCCCTCCTGAATTAATTTATAGGAAATCATTAATTGGATACGAGGCAATAAAATTAAGTTAAACAATATAATTTAGACATAGACATGAGAGAATCGTAGTAGGAGTGTGGTATGCAGAAGATCATGAGCTGATATGACTAACAAATAACAATTTCATTTAATTTTCACTCAAGCGGAATCCAGATGTTCTTCAATGTCCAACATTCGATTTGCACAAAATATAATCTAAAAGGTGTTGGCCAAATAGAAAAACTTACTGTAAGATCATATCTCAAAGCCAGCATTTCACCTCCTTGATCTTTAAGATCGTATATTAGTTTGCTGTCCTCTCCATATTTATTTGTCAGAGTTTCCTGAAAAATATAGCAACGAAAAATGTTATTAAGAGCAGTAAAATCTGTCTATCATAAGGCATGAGATGAGTCATCTGCCATATGTTATTAACTTCAAGGTAAGTGATTAGTAGGTTATTTACACCAGGCGATAGGCAAACAAAAGTCATCTTCCATATTTTAATCCAGAGGTTCTCAAACTTTTTAGGCCGCACCTCTTTTTAGAATTTGATAGCTAACAATAAGTTACAAATAAATGATAGTAAGGTGAAACACATTAAAAAATAGGTGGATGGAACATAAATAATAGAATGAATGAAAAAAAGTTTCAAAAAACAAATAAGGCGGACAAGATCAAATCTAAAAAATATTTTTATTTTTAATTAGCTTCATGCCCCTTCAAAAAATTGTCTACGACCCCTTTGTGGGACGCGCCGCAACATTTGAGAACCACTATTTTAATCAATTACTGAAAATAAACTAAGATTTAGGATAGGAATGGGCAGATCAGAATACCAAATCCAAAAGTATTTGGATCCAAAATGATCCAATGGCAGGATGCATTTTGTTACGGAATTTTTTCAAAGCAAGGTCACGTACACTCAGTTAGAAATAAAGCATTATCTCTGAGTGAGTGGTAGTGGTGACTCCTCTACGGCCCATGGGCCGGGGCCACGGCCCATCGAATTGGGCCTCGGCCAATCAGGCTATGGGCCGCGGCCCATCAAGTTGTGTAAAGGGACTATTCACATGGCTAACACAGGCAGTCCCCGAACTCAAATAGAACTATAATGTGAAAAATCTGAACAAAATTTTGTCCTAACCCTAACCTGGTAGACATACTACAGGAGTATATTTTTTTGGTACGAATATTGACAATTTTGTAAAAATTGAAAATTTTGGTAAGATAATTGAATTTTTCCTGATGGGGCCACGGCCCATGTGGCCCACTTAGATGGGCCGTGGCCCTGACCCATGGGCCGTAGAGGAGTCACCACTCCTGTAGCTCTGTGTTTAGTTCACTTAAGTACTAAAAGACTATTAAATTTTTTAATAACGGGAGAGGGTGCCAGTTTGAGATCAAATAAAATGCAATGATATTCCTAAATAATAAATCATGCAGAAAGGACTTGAACTATGTTTAACTGTTAACCAATGAAATACCTTTAATTCAAATACAGGAGTATCAATTGTTTCCGCTCCATGTCTTTTAAAGCAACCGATGATGGTGTCAAAAACCTTTTCACGAATCACCATTTGCTTTGGCGTGAAGTCTCTAGTTCCCTTTGGAGCTTTGAGAACGTACTTTGTTTTCGTATCTCCATCCCCCAGTTTTGCTTTCAATTCCAGTAGTTTTGAAACTTCTTCATCAATCTGAAATGAAAAAAACAAATTAAATTAGATATAACGAGTCATAAATGTTGAAAAAAACAAAGGTACCTCATCTACTGTAGTGGCATGATGACAGAAAGCATATGTCGAGCGAAGCTTCAACGACTTGGTAATGGAAGTCGAAATTCTAAGAAGTTTTGTCCAATTCACATTCATCGCTAAAGTATATTCTAAGACATATATTAGTATTAAAATACATGCTTCTTTCATGACATAGGTGCTTGAGAATAAAATTATCCAAATTTTGGCACAAAATATTCATCAGTGTCAGGTATTTACATTGAATATTATTTCAGGCTTTCAGCCATAGGAACAGACATCCCATACTATGACATCCTGCAATTCATATATAGGGTAAGAATTGATGACTTATAAAAATCATAGCAGAAGTCATCGTGTTGTCACATATGCAGATATGCTATTTATTCTTCAGAATTTATTGTAAAGCGATGCCGCAGAGTCCTATGCTAGGCACATCTTTCTATTTTCAGTGCCTGTGTCTTTGTGCTGTTCAACATCAGTGTTGTACCTCACATTTTACAATCATTTTGATTCAAAATGATAATATTAATTTGTAAAAGTAAATTTTCCTTCAGCATTTGGCATACTGTACAGCTGTAGCAACGACTTACAGTCTTAGTTTGTCTATCATATTTTATTGTGTTTTTCAAGGTGGTTGGATATATCCAGGATATCTCAAAAAAGTGCAGCCCCTTCCAACTGAACAATGGTTCTCACGCCTTTTCAAAGACATGTTGTTGAATTTACTGCTTGATTTATCTGCTTATCAAGGTGGTTATCAATTTTTCGCAAGTAAAAATGCTAGTGCAGTAGTGACATAATTTTTGTATGGCGAAATCAGGTAGTGGTTAGGATTGACCAACGGCCGGCAACCAACTTGCCTAATGTTAAACAAGTTCATGGACGCCATCTTGTGCCATATTTGGGAAACGCGAAACAATGGAGTCTTATGGGAAATTTTCGTCGTGTTGTCGTACCGAATCGAATAAGTCCGCTGTTATAAGGGCTAGAATGAAACTGAAGGGTGGATTTTGAACTTTAAGATATATGCTATCTAAATATATAACGCAATTGGGAATACAAAACTATCTAATGCGTTAAATTTGACCACAAACACAGCGTAGAACCATTTTTGGTCATTTTATCAAAGATTTTATAGTGATACGCCAATTTGAGGCTGTAAAATGTCACCGCAACAATCCTACAATGTCATTTGTTCTTCTAGCGCAGCTTGGAGCTCAGCAGTAGGGCATTATGGAGCTTGACAGACAAAATATGTTAACCAGAAAATAAAAACGGCCATTGAAGCAAAGTTGGGTCGGCCGGTAATTTCGACGAATAAATACAACTTTCCATCTGTGACGTCATAAGAAACGCCATTGTCAAATGGTTAATTATGACGATTGGAATGGCCAATTTACTTCGGAAGCAACTCGGAACCGGTATACTTGTCTTCAAAGACAATTTAATGTACTATAAATGTAATTTGGCCAACATGAAAAGATATAAGCATGTACGGCTAAGATTCTACTTCAAAACGCGACCTTCAAAATTTTTCTACCTAAAATATTAGTGAAAATAATAGGTATGTTTTAATAATTGTGTTGGAACTTCTCATAAGGCGCCGTGTTAAACTGCCGAGAACAATAGGCACAAGATGGCGTCCATTGTCTTAGCGTTGCCTCGCTTATATTATATATACGCTTTGGGATTGACATGTGCAAAATTCGTCATGCTACACTAGCAGTGTAGCAGACTAGAAGTAGCCTACTTGGGGTACTAAACCACACTAGACACGGTACCGGTATTTCTATATTTTACCTGTTGCTTATCAGCCTTTGCCTGCTTTAGACTACGAACAATTCCACCCTGCGTTTTTATTTTTTCTTGAATTTCTTGTCGATTATCCATATCAAAATGACCAAAAAAGAAATCTACCGTTAACTGTTATACAAGCCCTAGTCAAGCAGTCTGCTAGTACAGCAGTAGCAGATGGAAATTCAACGTTGGACGTTACAGCATAGTTAACAGTTGATTGGCATACTGACGCAACACGCGACTGTAGTGGTGCAAGGAGCATCCATTCAGTGTCGGATGTAGCTGTGGTTGAGTCGACTTACGACTAAATAAAATCATTACTTATCAAAACTGCTATTATAAAATACTAAAAATAAAACGGAAAGCACCATGATTTTTGTTTTGAGTGGGCCGCGGCAGATTGAAAACACTTTCTTAGACATTGCAAATATCATAAATGCCTTGTACACACCTGTAGTGTTCTAAAACTACCGACTTGATTGATAAATTTTACTCTGTGGGATTTTTAGACTTAGAAATTTCTCTAACGGTGATATCGTAAAATAAATCGAGTGGAAAAAATAAATATTATTACATTTGTGTAACCGCCCAATTTGTTGACAGCGCTCCCCAATCGCCCAGTTAGACACCCAGCGCACAATTTTCAGTCAGTGCCCAGTTGTTGCGAAGGCCTAAAGGAGGCGTTCTCGCCCACTAGGGGAACCGCTGGCTTATCAATCAATCAATCAATCTTTTTTTGCTCCTCTGCTCAAAACATGACGATACTCAAAACACATAAAAATTTCAAACAGGTCAACAAGGTGCAAGGAAAACAAGGAGGGTGAGCTTAGCCTAAAATGAGTTTAAAACGTACATAAACACGCGCTCATTCACTTGATAGAAAAAATCTTAGGAGGGAAAAATATAAACCTTGTATCCTTGTGATTACGTGCAATACAAATCGTAGGTACCTAGTAAGCCTACTGCCATCAAAACAAACATAGTCATCTACATTAACTATATTTTTGAACGTTGACAATTCCAGACACAAAATGCAAATGGAGCCAACTCGGGTAAATTCATTTGTGAAATAGTTCCCAAACTTCAAAACATTATTTGATGCAATATATCGTCATCCGTGTATTGCAAGTAAATGTGAGGTTTCAGGCGGCTTTTCTGATATTGCATCAAGTCACTGGAGCACCAAACGAGCCATTCTCAAATTGAGATGCGCAGTTTAATGCATTCCGATACAAGCATCAGGCGCTCTATTCCAAATCGCCATCTCCAATTGTAACCGGAGTTCGTAAACCTCGTAAAGTCCCAAATTTTAGCAGACCGTTATATAGCAAAGCCTGTAACCAAGCCTCAACAAGGATTCGAATATTATAGACTACTTTTACAACATCGTTATACATGTTGGCAACCTACCATTCGAATTTAATTTGGAATTAGGAAAACGTAATATTTTGAACAAATATTCATAAAAAGTGCAACAGGGCACGCGTAACGAACCAGCGCGCCAATCGACACGGGGATATATAGAAAACTCTACAATCCTTTATTACAGCATCGTACTTTGAAAACGTGAATGCTTGCCTCATTTATGATGAACACGAAAAATAGACTATACATGAAAGTGAAGACATATATTTTTCAACGAAATTAAGTGAATACCAAAAGACAACTAGCAAATTATAAAATATTGAAAAGAAATCAAAAACGTTCATAAGAATGTGTAATACATCTAGTTGACAGAATTGTACGCCCCAATAACACAATGGCTCTATTTCGAAAAAGAATAATAGACTTGAAAAATATTGGTCGGGAAACTTAAACTAAAATCTTGAAAGCAACAATAGGGTATCAGAGTAACAATCGAATTGGTTTCCACTATTGAACCATGGACATCCGGACCCAAACACTTTTTACAATTATAAGCCAGCTGTTTAATTGTAAACACTATGCTTTTAGAAAAATAGGGCAATTTCATACTGGTTTATGCACCCATTTCTAAATGATTATATTTAATAATATCATATATTACACATATACACAATATATATATATATATTTAGTTAATATATGGACAGTTGAATATATACACATCTCCTTTTCAGAGTATTTTAATACTGTTTGCAAGATACATACAACCCCCAAATGTATAATATGGTTGCATAAAAAATAGCTGAAAATTTCTTGACAAGACATGTTGGAACCAATAATTATAAGAACTACTGTAGAATAAGCTAACAGCGGCCAGCTCATTTTGTGTCTATTTAATGTGCACATTATTAAATTCGGTGAAAATTTGATTCCCAATTTCAAATCTTTGTGTTTACACATCTGTTAAACAATAAAGATTCAGCTTCATATAACGGCAATAAGATTTACCATACCTCACTGTACTTTTACAAGTCTATATAAATAATTGGGAAAATAGTGGTGAACTGCTAAAATTCACATCATGCAGAGTGCAGTGAGATAGAAAAAAAGAACATACATGAAAACACAATGAAAAGACCACAAAATACCAAAGCTATTGAAAACTCAACTAAAACAGATCAATCTTTCAAATAAGAAAACAAAAGCTGGACATGTGAAAAATAATGTGAAACTTGACGGTTTGAAAAACCGATGTCACAAAAACACCAACGAAGTATATATTTTATATATATGACACTTAGACCAAGATTACCAAACATAGTGACTTGTTATTAATCGTGCAATACAATGAATGTACCCAGAAAGTTGAAATACACAACCAAACAAGGAACAATGAGAATTTGACTATGTGACAATAAATATCTATTGATCCTTGAATCAAAAAAATTAATTTCAAAACTGTCAAAGGTGAAACCAGCTTTTTATGAACAGCTAAATTCTTTAATGAAGAATTACACAATAAAAATACAAATCATCATTCAATTTTAAACATTTAATTATGAAAGCCCCAATGTAGTTTTGTAACCAAGACAACCAAAACAAAAAAGTTTTGTTCTATAATGTAAGAGATGTATTGTCTCCAGAATAGTGGCCCAATACAGTATTTCATCATCAATTTTTTCTTATCTTTTAATATATTGCCATGATATATTGATGCAGTAAAGAATAGGAATGTGGCAATAGTCTATTCGATTCAACATTTCCCTATTTTTTGATATGAGAATGAGACAACGGGAAAATTAAAATTGATGTGATTTGCATACATCACATTAGAGTAGAAATATCAAACAAGAGCTGCAAAAGAATTGTGGACTTCTGATACTCGATTGGAGAGGTCAACCATTGAAAAGGGGGTTGTTTTCGAAGAAAAACCCTGCAATAATGTTGAGACTTCAAAAATATGAGTATTCCACCAAGCAAGACATACTGAGAAAGACTAAATGCAATAGTGATATTTCTGCAAAAATACTTGTTATGAATTTCAGAACAAACCATCGACAAAAAATATACTATTTCTTTAATGATGAAGTATCTATTCCATGTAATAATAATTAGAGGTTTTCATCAGTATAAGATGAAAACAAACGGAAAATAAAGCGGTTATATGGTAATGTTGTGATACAAAAATAAGGTTTCAATATATATTTGATAATATTTATCGATAATATACAAGCTTGAAAAATGAAAGCCAGAAAATCATTCTAAGATATAAAAATAGCATCAAAGAGACTAATAAAGACAATAAAAAAATTTTGTGCTCCTCAGAATCGTGTTGAGAACTTCATATATAACAAAGAGTCCTGTTCGTTGATTGGAGAATAGTCTCCACAGTTTAATTGTGTTTCAGATTCATGCTGATGAAGTAACAAGTTAGGTCTTGTTCATACAGACCTGAGAAACAAAACATAAAAGTATTTATTAGATTCAGATTATTTCAATCTGAAAAGACATGGAAAATGATCTAAATATAAAATCAGATACCCCCGCAATGTGTACCAGGTTAGGCGTTAGGCCATTAATTTATTCCAATTTTTCTCATTTGAGTTTCAAATAAAAGTTCTGGGACTGTACGTGTTAGCCAGGTGAATATCCCTCTGCCCATAGGTTTCAGTCCCCTTACACAACTTGATGTAAAAGAGGCGAACAAAATTAGTTACCTCCATATTGGTACCATACCTACTTCTTCAAACGCCCAAAATTTAATATCTTTAGGTTTTATTCTACGAATGATCTAGTTGCTGATTGCAGATCGATTTTAACAAATCAAAAATTCTCCTGTAGCTATTAGTACTACCTTACATTCCTAACTTTTGACAGAATAATTTCACAACTTTTGAGGAAAACTTCAATAGGTATTTATCAAAAATTAGTTATCCACATATCTCTTTATTCCTTCACAAGAATTTTGACAACTTATAACAGAAAGAAATCCTTGAGAAAAAAACAGCTTTGTTACCACTTACAGCGCAACAGTTTCAAGAATACCACACTTGACAATTTCGGCATAAGTTAGCGGTCTCATTCTCATTGCTTCATGTTTTTTTCTGGAATAAAGAAAAAGACTGAGATAAAATTAAGTTCATTGTAGATCATGCTTTGAAACAAATTGCAGAGATCGTCACACAAAATTATCGGAACTCCCGCAGTGGGTGTACCAGGTTAGGGTTAGGGCATAATTTATTCTATTACGAGTTCTGGGACTGTCTGTGTTAGGCAAGTGAATATACCCCCTGCCCATGGGTTTCAGTCCCTTTACACAACTAGATGTAAAGTTACCTCCATATTGGTACATACACTTCTGAAGCGCCAAATTATCAGTATAAAGATGATGGTAGAAAGCAATGTTCTTATTGAAATATTTTTTTAAAAACCTAATTAGACTGATTAATAGACATCATTGTTAAATTACTGCAGAATAACATTGAATATATTTATAACTGAGATACCTTTCTGTATATTCCTCATCTTCGCCTTCAGACGCTGTCAGTGTCTTGTCACTGTCATATCCATCTGAATCCATTTCATCATTTTCATCTTGAGTGGAGCTGTTCCAGTCACTGTCTTGAGAAATTTCGCTGTCATTCAACAGATTTCCAACAAAAGGCTCATAATCAATTTGGGATTTCTGTGACTTGAGCACACAAGAATTATTGTTAATGGAATTGTGAGGCATTGCATGGACATAGTTAGTCACAGTGTTATCACCATGCATTTCTTGTCGTTCTCCCTGAGATATTGTAATTGTTGTCGGCCCAGAGGCAAGATAAGGCAGCTTGTGAGCTTCAACGACACTTTGAATATTTGGTGACTGTTCGATATTATGGTCACACACTTGCACAATTTTGTCACCAATGTTACAATTTTGTGAATAGTTTGTGTGGACTTTTTTGACGAAATCGGATACTGGAACATGAGGATTGATGTCATTTGCCTTTCGTTTTGTAGCTGCTCCCTAGAATCATACAATGAGAACAAAATAAGGCAAGCGGAAGCGAATTGAAAATACTTCATGGAAAGCACAACCCAAACAAAATTAATGTGAATAATTAGTTAATTCATGGTATCATGAAAAAAAGTTTTTTTGTCAGATTCTGCTTACAATGTAAACATATAGCCTATAGGCATAACAAAACAAGGAAAGTAGATTTTTACTCGCATCTATGAAGTATTGATTAAAAATATTATTGAACATTCAGATAAAATAATACATACTTGATAAACAAGAGGAATGATATCTTTATTTATCGTATGCTCAGCTGCAGGTATATCATACAATTTTTGGTCCGGATTGCCGGTATATGACACCATGTAATATATCGGATTGCGGGCCGTAGAACTGCAGATCTTTTTTGGCAAGAGGTTGAAGATCACAGAGCGACAACTCATCAAATCATTCGTTTTGACCTAAAACATGGAAATATATCACGATAGAATTATTTTTAGTGATAAATTGTTTAATATTTAAAAATGCCCCCACAATTCATATGCGAACAGCCATTCATAAAGCATTGCCATATTGTCAAGCATTTGTCGTAATAATCCATCATAAGTGGAGACTGGTAAAAACTTCAGTTCAGAAGTATGTAACAATCACAAAACAGATGGAATAGATATTTAGGATTATATATAGATAATGACGTAAGGTACTTCAATATGACCTCAAACCAGAATACAAGAATAAAAGGATTATATGTTCGAGACACTTGTTATTTTTGTGAGTTTCGTACGCCAAGTTAACTACGGTCTACGGTTCAAGCTTGCTGACATAAACTGGAGCAATTTCACAGCCTCCATACATTGGCAAAAAACTATACCAAACCATAGAAATTAATTGATTAATAATTTTAGGTACTGCATTCAAGTATTTTAGATTAGGTAACAATAAATCATATACATTTTAGTTATAAATGTACCGGTAATTAAATTCGATTTATTTTATAATAAAAAATTGAAAACATAATGATATAATGTGATTTTAAAGTCAGAATGAGAAAACCGGAAAATACATCTTCAATAATTTGTAGTAATTTGAATTTATTATTTTGTCCAAAAAATATCAAGTTGTGTAATTTCTATATTTTTTGTACAAAATTTGGCAATTATTAAACTATCGCAGATCTATAACTCCAATTAAGATCATACTACACTTCAGTTTACATATTTCACTTTTAAGTTACCTTAGCAAAAGCTTGAATCTGGCTTGTAATTATGAGCCAGCGGCTAGGATCCGCAGTTAAATTCTCTATCTCCAGTGAGACGAGAGCCAAAGCGATGGAAGCGCTTGGAAATATGGCCAAAGAATAATTGCATATGACATGTTGCAATTCCCTTGTCAACTGGTTCAAATGTCGCGCAAGAAATGAAGATTTCTCAGACTTGGAACAATCCTTCATTTGATGGACTGTTAAAGGTTTCTTTGACTGATTGGAGAAAGCCAGAGCATGGAACTGCATAAAAAATAAACGATGTTTATTGGATAAAAAATATCAAATATGATCAATTTGGGACCGAAATATAATTACTGGTAATGAAATAACAGAAAACAAGTAGTCGAAGTAGACATGATTAGTCTCGTAAATAAAATAAAAATTTTCAAAAATGGCAAAATATAAAAATGAAGATTGGTATCTAAGTATCTAAGTATCTAAGGGTGGGCAAAATATTCAAGCGATATGTAAAAGGAAAATGGAGACTCCCAGCGTTCTGCCACAACTCAATTGATAATTAGAACTATTCACTAATTGTTTTTTCAGTATCATAAATATGCAATTTTTCCCACCCCCAAATAAATGAGAATCCTTTTTTGATTTTGTTTAAGTATGATTCCAACAAGAAATTTTATCAACTTCCAATGTACATCTATTTGAAGACATTTAACAACTTCAAAATTACCACTCAAAAATCGTTGAGTAGTTTTCTAAAGAGAAATGACTGGAAAAAAACCAGACTTACGATTTCCAAGTATGTAAGAGGAGTTGGAGTGTGTAAGTCCCACTCAAGTTTCGTAAGTATTATTCGTTCCATTCTGAGAACGTCTTTTGCTCGACAACCACTTTCACTGGCTTCAACAAGTTCTCCAGTCCCTGGTATGAACTGAAACCAAATATATTACGAGGTTTGAAAAATTGTAATAATGACAAATAGGAATGTTAAGGAAAGAATTAAGAATTATCAGTATTGAGTTAACATTTCTATTTCAAGTTTTCAAACAATGCAATCAATCGAAAAGATTTGAACCAGATATTGTACAGGCAATCATAAAATATTCTGATCTCGGTATGAACATGCATGTTATACAAATGTTAACGATTAATAGTCGATGTCTTCACAACATAAATGATCCAATAATTTGCCTACTGTTCTTTTAAAAAAAAGCTAGATGCTTGTAATTTGAGTTTTTTTCTTGGGAATTTATTAAAACTACACATATTCTTACCTCTTCTTCCTCAACCAATTTGCTTGCTACATAAAAACAAGTGACAGCAATGCATTTTAGATATTTGGGTCGACTCTGAAAAATAAAATGCCAGGCTTGAAAATGTCATGAAAATGACGCATGCAGCAAATATAAAGCATGATATACAGCAATTGTTGAATAAGTGAGGAATGTATCAATGAATCTCACTGATACTCTGATAGTAATACAGAGACATAGTACAGTAAATAAAATTTTCTCTACAGCTAAGTCTGCTAAAGAATAATGAATACAATATTGTTGGAAGGCATAAAATTAAAATTATACAATTATATAAATGGAATTCTGAATCAACCAGGTCTAATTTTTTAAACATATGCTTTCTACTTTAATCGCTGGGATACAGTAGTTTGTATATGACTGTATGAGATGACCTTACCTTCACCGCAGTGAGGAACCGATCCAAAGTATGGACAGCCAGGAAAAAGGTTTCAGGATAGAAATTGAATCGAGAATTCAATTGTGACATCCATGTAACAGTGAAATCGCGTTCTGTTGGTCCAACTTCTATTAGCTGTAGAAACATAACGGGTATCAAATGTCAGAAGGCCTTTTGAATGGGAAGTTTCTGCTGACAGAATAGCTATAATACGTTGAATGGTTGTTGAAAAACCAAAAATGCATACCATACAAATATTATATAGTGCATTGTCTACATCAAACAGGCAAATAAGAAAAACCTGTACCAACAGTTTCAATTTATTGTGCGGGTTTTGAACATGTGATTTTAATAACACAAAAAGACCTCTTTGTTTGACAACCTATAAATTGAAAAAACAGAAGTGACATATTCAGCTGGTATGCTCTTATTATTAAGTGACAAACTGCATCTGAATTGGGACATCAATAGCTTTCAATTAAATATTTTCTTGCATGTTAGCACAGGTGTTTCGAGTGTTTGCTCTTATCAAGATTTTGAAATATATATATATATATCGCCTGATGAGAACAGAAGGGGCCTAAGTCACATTTTTGGGAAATTGACTTTTTTCAATATATATTTTGGGGTTTTGAGCCATGCTCTACAAGGTGGTGGTCTTGAAATCCTGAATTTCTCAATAATAAAAATTTTAGCTGGACTTAGGACTAAAATACTTAAGAACAGAATGGGCCTAAGTCCAGCTAAAATTTTTATCATTGAGAAATTCAGGATTTCAAGACCACCACCTTGTAGAGCATGGCTCAAAACCCCAAAATATTGAAAAAAGATAGTCCCAAGTTCTAATATGATGGGCATGAACGATGAACATCAGAAATGAAATGTCCGAAACTTACATCCCTAAAAATTTGTTCAGTGCAACTTAGGCCTAAGTCACCTTGTTTTACCTTGCATGCCATACAAAAAAATTCAGAAGTTGTCGAGAACAGAATGGGCCGAAATCCATTATGGGGGTAAAAAAGCAGAAAGGAATTACTGCTGAAGTGCCAAAAAATATTGATTACAAAGATATTCTCATCCACATCAAAATAACCAGAGCTCAGGACTTTACCAAGTGTGAATATCTAGAAACTCAAAAATAAAAAAATTCCAAATTGTTTTTTGCGTTTTTCTCAAAACTCAAAATTGTGACTTAGGCCTGTTCTGTTCTCATCCGGCGATATATAATATACTATTGTCACCAACTATAACTGTGTAAAAAAGGAGAATACTTTAATATTTATTTTGGAGAGAACTTTTACTATCTAAATTCTAAATCACAATTCAGTGGTATGAGAATAGTAATATGAATAATTATAAACTCACTCCTTCCTACTATGATTTTATAAGTATAAGTTTATTTATACCAAATTTATATATTTTATTGTTATTATTTATGGAAGTATGCTGCTTAAAATTAAATTGTTGTGCATTGAACAATATCATAGTGTAGATATGTTATCGCATTTGTCTGTAAATCACAGTCCAAATGTGACGATATATAAGATAAATCAGTCCACGCCGGTTTTGACCGGTTTACTCTGCTTCCGAGACGTGAGAATTTCCGCGTAAACAAGCGGTTTATTTTCCGCGGACAATTTTGATAAAATTTCCCAGGTGATGCATATTTATCTTTTTATAAAAAAAAATCGAAAGGGAATAACATGCTCTTTATTCATGTGGTCCCTATACTATTCCCTTGTTGAATATTGGAAGTGCATTAATGCAACTTGCTACTGGTCTTTGCCCACGCATTTACCAGACAATAAAAATGAAGAAAATCTTACGGTCATACTAGTCTTACACGGCAGTTAGTTGAAGAACGCGTCCGATTTCTCTACAAGTAAATACTTGCGTAAATATTTTCAATCACCTACGCAACAAGCCCAGACTTGCCAGACACTGGTTAGTTACGATAGCGTGCATACTTCAACGGCGAACAAAATATTCTTGTAAAGTGCAAAACATCTCCACAGTGCCAGACCCAATTCTAAAAATATACTTTCATGATTATAGAACCACACATTGATAATATTTATCGTTTGTGATTTATAACGCAAGCTGTGATCACCGGTTAACTCGCGCCTTAAATGTTTTCAATTTTCTTCGAGTTATGCTTCATGAATGAAGTGTGTTATAAGAGAATGATGCTTCGCCGAAGACTAACATCGTCATTTGTTGCCATCTCAGTCACACAATAAGCCGGAAAGTATGATTAAATTTTACAGGTGGCGAACGCCTATTGTCTCATACAAAGCGACTTAGCAAATTCACTCTTGTAGTTTTCATGTTAATTAACAAAAACGCAACGGAATACCGCGCGATTGTGGAAGCCGGTATTACAACCGGCCACAGTCAGAAATCATCGGAGCTTCCAGAACGTTCTGTCTGTTATCCCGCTCGTCTCGAGCACACAACTGTCGTAATGGATATCAGGCCTATCAATTACAAACATTCATGGAGGTGACGCGGGGTCAATTAATCTAGAAGTGTGATTGCGTTAAAACTACCACAAAATATAAAAGACATAATACGGAAGTAAACAAGTTGAAATGTATTTAACAATGTAGGAACGGACAAACGCGAAGCAATAGTGTTACTGAGCACACGTACTGTGTACTGAGTGGTATTTAAGAGCGGTGGATAATACGGGGAAAATGACGTCCTGACATCAAATACTAACAAAATTGGTGTCATAAATTGCCTGAAGCGTTTAAAAGTAGATTTGCGTGTTATTTCAGGTTATTTAAATGAGAAATACCCATGAAGTTGTCATTAATCAAATCGTCACCTCAAAAACTAACGTAAAAGCGGTTGCTACAAAAAACATCTTTAACAACGACAAAAAATATTTTTAAAATCTAACTAGCAAATGACTATCATTTTTTAGCGATATGAAACTAGTTCTGGTTTGCTGTGGTTTAATGGAAGAGATATCATTCATTCACGTTTCCATGCGTCACGACTTCCTTCTTTCGGTTCAATAGAGAACAATTTTGTTTCGAGTTTTCTGCTCTGGTGTATACCTTATTTAACAGACTGCAAAAACAAGTGTCGGTATTTCGTTGACTTGCCGGGCGGCGATAGCTGACCGCCAACCAATACGAATTTTCGTGACCGTTTTAGTAGAAATGACTTGTCGGCTTTGAGTTATTTCTGCTTGCCTACGGATCAGCAGTCACGTTGAAATATCTTAGCTAATCACAATTATCGTCCAAGTTAATACGGCTACAATCAACCGCGGCGTCATGTCAATTCGATATAGATAAGTTTATAAACAAACGGGATCGACAAGGCAATAATAGTATTAAAGGTTTCCTGTCGATTGATTACGATATAACGGCGGAGTCAACCAAGCGGTGCGGTGCCACTTGGAATTTAGGCTTTTATAATGAATATAAAGGCTCAGGGCGAAGTGTCACAGGCCGGAACGGTTTATTTTAGCCTATTCATTAGTAACGTTTAAATAAAATGACGCGGTCGGACGCACTCCCTTTTCAAATTTCGTCACTGGGCGTGACAAAAGAAAAGCATCTGCTACGCGACAAGATTAGCGTCAGAGTAGCGGAGAAACACGAATACTTTAAACGTTAGAGTAAGCCCCACCACACCGACGAATTTAAGACAGATTTGATAACAAAACATTTTCAAAGATAACAAAACTACAAACGAAATCAAATGTAAGTTATAATAAGTATCTATAGCATAATATTTTACTCACTGTAAACCTAAATGGACGAAAAGACATAATCAAGACAAATAAATTAAAAACGCAAATTTTCGGATAAACTGATCTTCATTAAATTCAAAGGAGGGCTTGCAATGGTCCAAACAAACTACAGGATTTCATTTCTTACATTTTTACACCTATGACTGAGTAAAAACCAAAAAAACAAAATTACTACCATTCAAGTCCAGAACACAAATTTTCATTTTACATGCACAATTTTTTCTTTGAAACCTTTTATCAGGTGATAAGCACATCATTAAATTTTTAATCTTGCTTAAACTCCCTTACTTCTGGTGGAAACAATCAATATCCACTTCTTAAAAACTAATCCTAAATACTATCAAGGAGCTACTGCGGTTGTAAGACCTGCTTTGGTTCTGGAAAGCAGACCAAATTAGCTACATTTTTTAATTTTAGCATGAAAAAATGCCTCTCCCTGTCTCCAGTTTTATATTTGTTGGTAGATGACTTTTCTCACTGCCACTGCTGATAAAAATGAGAAAAAAGCCTAGCGGGTACGCTTGTATCTTCTAAAGATCAAAATGAAAATAGCATCACAATTCACAATCTATCAATTATAAGTCAATAGAGCTATAATAAAGCATATAATATATCTATAGGTATTTTCAAGATAAATCAAGAAAAAATAAGCTCAGATACTTCACAGCAAGCAGCACAATTTGTATACAGTGTTTGACACAAGCTTCACTGAAATAGCACCAGTGGCATAAAAATTGTTTCACCAAACTTGAGAGAAGTAAGACTCAAGAAGTATTATGCTATAATAGACAATTCATTGAAAATCAAAAAAATTATAAGCAAAGGGAAGTCTTGTTTAAAGTTATAACAGCCTTTTCTGTTGTGGGAATCCCCATTAAAAAGAAAAACCGAAGCAAATGAAAGTAAACAAACCTTGTTGGCAGATTCGGAGAGTAATTGATGTCTCCATGATTCCCTTTCCCTGGCTTGAGAGTCTCTAAGTGTGGCTAACAGCTGTTGTGGGGACCAGCCATGATGAGATGATGAAGACCTCATCATGATGGCTTTTGATCACCTGGCAGAACGTTGCCTAAAAAACAAATAAAAATTAGTACAATACAAATAACTATATCCAGATATCCATATCTGGATATGCCAGTCAATTTACATCAACAATGAAAAAACAGTGTAATAACTCACAGATACAATAACTTCAGATACTATATTACTGTATTACAGTCTGACAGTATTAATCAAATGTGTTAGAAAACTTAACATTATAAACCAGCAAACAGGTAATATCTGTAATTGCAGTATCACCCCATTATTTAATCTGTCAACATTGTAATCGCCATAGAAAGTTGACAACCTTTTACCTATATTACGATAGATGCCAAATTCACATTCTACAAAATACTGAAATGTAAGCTACAGAGCTACATCCACAAGCTTGGCAAAATTTGCCCAGGTATTTTGTATTCTTCCTTATTATTTTCAAAAACATAGCCTAATACAATATTTACAGAATTAGGATATATACAATTATATAAATATAAGAGGTCATATACAGAGGTCACATGCAGACATGAATTCAGGAATTATTTGTTGAGTTTTAAAAAAGATGCAGAACAGCAAAATGAAGTATTTTCAGATTTAGGCAATCAGACATGAACATTTCAATGGTCTGGTCCCTCAATTATATTTCACCCAATTGTTTTTGTTCATCAAATTTGTACAGCAGTAAGTTCCTGGCAAATACTGAAATATTAGAAACTTTTCTGCTTAGACTATACCAACAATGTTTAAAAGTTTAAAACATTTTACCTCCCCACAACAGCTGTTTGTAGGTTCCAACTTAACTGATGTGGTATCCATGTATGATGAATAGGAAAAAATTATAAAAATCCCATTTCCTATTAACTCTACTGCAGTTGTTTGCAATACATCTTAGCTTCGCTAGGTCTCTGACGCTATGATTGAGCTCTTTGTCCGCTGTTGTTGAAAACTAGGCTTGGCTCAACAAAGAGAGAAAGGCAAACGAAAAGGTGTTACCATTTATTATTCTTAGTCGAGGGTCCGCTGATAAGCAGATTTTCTCGACTAAATCTTTTGTGATATATAATATTTCCTCGTATCAAAAGTATATGGCATTAATTTTTCTACTGCAAATTACAATATACATAAGGAAAATAAAATCAATTATTTAAACAGGAGCCCGCGTGCAACCAAGCGAAATATACAATCTGTACTGCCGACGGTCGGGCTATCAATTTTTAACATTTCTCTCGTTTATCAGCTGATGCCTTTGCTGTTTCCTCTTACTTAACCCTGTTCCACTATGGTGCAAGTTTTAGGGATGTATCAACAATGTGATAACGACATTCAAAGGGATGTACGTTTATGTATAACTTAGAATAGTATCTTCATCGAAGATAATAAATGTGTTATGTGATACTTCTAGCATTTTCAAGCACTCCAGCACTTTTCTAACATAAGGACATTATGAATCATTTATATATATTGTTATCAGCTGTGTCCGTTTAAAATGTACATATCTAGCCGATATTTTTTATGCTTATAGCCAAAATTTATGCACTGTACCCTAATATTGCACCGTCACCAAGCTATTCAAAATTGGCTTAGGACGTAAACTCTTAACATTTAGCTAAGATAGTACAAAAACGACCAAGCACAGAGCAAACACACAAGCCGGAAATCCAGGCAAGTTGCCAAAACTTCAGTAGAGTAAACAGAAAAATTAATTTCATAAATCTGATGCGGGATAAGCAAAATTATTCACGTTGTACAACGCGATATATTACGTGACCTACAAATGACTTTCTTTTCCGCCGTAAGTTTTAACGCCGCACAATGGCCGAGAGAAATATAACGCAACCGGTAAGGCTCGCCCAATGAAATTTCTCTCGTCTGTCCCTTTAAATTTGAAAGTCAACTGGCGCGGGATCGAAAATAATGGGAACATCAAATTTCAAGCGGGAAAATGTTTGAAAAATTCCCAGTGCAAAGGTATATCGCACACTGAGAGATTTAACACAGAAATTTATAACGAGTTCTGTGTTACCAGAGGCTATAGCCAAGCCTTATAAATATCCACGTACTCATATATGTAGGCATGTGCCGCCAAAACTGTATCGAAATGCTGGTCAAAGCTTTATTTTAGTATAGGTCATCAAATCATCATATGAATATAATAACTACGTACCATGGACGGGAGATATTTTGAACGTTTTTAATATTGGCGGGGGTTGGCTTTGATGGCTGCATGTCAGCCTCTTCTGTCTTTGTTTTGCTTGTTACTTATTTTATAATTACGATTTTGGCTCCCGATATAGTAAAACACATTTTCTCTCTCCAATGTGGTCCCCGAAACACGTCCAAATATTGGTTTGAAATTTTGAATATCGTAGTTGGAAAAATACGTAAATCACATACTGACTTATTCTAATACGTTAATACACGTCTGAATACATTCCAAGCCTCCATCATTTTTCAAATACATGCATTAATATGGATCCATTAAAAACGGAACTCAGTACCAAAATTGCTTAGGATTAGTATGTTTTGAATCCACCACGGGAAAATGCGTTAACGCAAGCTTACCTTATGGCGAATTTCAGCAGAATTTTATATAGTTTATAGTGTTTAATAAAATATTACGAGTTCACCAGACGACTCAAACTTCAAAATGTTCACTTATTTTTCGTCTTCAAGTATCATATTGACCTTCTTTATTAAAAATAAACACTGAAACTTATTTTTTGGACACGAAATGGGCATATGAGTCGTTTTCTTAAATTGTTGTTGTTTTTTCTTTTTAGTATTCTCCTTGTTGCTGCATTTTTGTTTTAAAAAAAAATCTTTTTATTTCAACAATTGGATCGATGAACTATTTACACTATGTGGCGGTTCCACGATCGCATTTTCAACGATCTAGTGGTCAGCGAAGTCGGGAGTTTTTTGATAAGGTAGACCAGGGTGGTCCAAACCATGTCATGCTGATACATTCCGTGCTGCTCACAAAACAATTTTAGCGTATATTTGTAGCTAATGGAGGAACGTTTTTGAGTTTTTTTAAATATTTCAACTGGGGTTGGGATCCCAAGATTCAAACCCTTTTTCTATCGCTTTGTGCCTTTATTTTAGTAAAAACACTCCTCTGTTTTCAAGCGTCGGCCATGTGATAGTAGTGACGAAACGCAGAACCGACTTAACGCCGCGCAATCCAGTTTTTTTTCGCTAGGTCCCGAAATACCAACTTAGACGGACTTGGTTGGTATTTGACGATGGCACTAAGCTTGCTCACGCTGCAAGTTTTTAAATTACTCAATATAACAATTCGAAAAAAATGAGTGTCTCAAGAAAGGTGGCATAAGGAAAACACGGCGGAAACCAGTGATTTCCCCCCCCCCACTTATAGGGGGTGAACACCCCCCCTAAAATTTCAAACACCCCCCCTCATTTTGAGGTGCGATTCCACACTGTTATTCCCAGGTGCGATTCCACACTGTAATTCCTAACTCAATTATAATTGTATTCAAATATAACGACTATGGCAATATTTATCAGTGTAGATGAGGGGTTCCAAACCGAAGTCTGTTGGCCAATTACGGCCCGCGTAACGATTTAAAATGGCCCGCCGAACTTGAGTGGAATAGTTGAAGCGTAAATATATGTTTAACCGTAAATATATACTACTGGTTTAACACTTCATGTGGTAACTTTTGAATTTTAGATACCGTCTATCCTTACATCATTATCACAGTTTAAGCACGTTTATTTCGTAACAATTGAATTATATCGGTATATCTTATGTATACGTATGGGTATTAGGATTACACACCGCAGTATTTTAGATATCAGCCGTATATTAAGAAAACTTAAAGATGTCACAAAACGAAAACTAGTCACTGGAAACAGACATTTTTAGATGAATGGCAGCGTTTTTATTTCTTTATTGAAAAGAACCAAACTTTAGCGATTTGTCTTTCTTGCCAACAAAATATTTCAGTTCTGAAGGAATATAACATTATGCGCCATGATCAGTTGACGCGCGTATTTCAAAATTCAATTCATTGCTTAATTCATACAAAAGTCAAACAAACATGTTCAAAAAAATGTTAAATGTATAACAAAACGAGCCATAAGTAGCCATTCATACAATGCCATGTGATAGATGAACAAGTAACTTCATTAGTCACTATCAGTTGTAAATTACTTGCTTGAAAGCCGTGCTTGTTATTTATTTCTCGGGAATTCTATCAGCCAAATATTATAATTATTAATTTCATTACATAATAAACTGCGATGCTATGTGTAGCTTAGAGCCTATTTTAGTGCCTATTTTTCAAAATTTTCTCAGGGCGCTTAAGCGCGCCCTGAACCCCAGCCGTGTCGTCGCGCACTTTTCCTCGCTCTTTTTTTCTGGCCCCACAATTTTATTCTGCTGTGTATTTTGGCTCGCCGTCAATCAACTTGGGGGACCCCCTCATGTACATCGTTTCTTAAATACATACCAATTTTTTAAGAATACAAATAGTTTCATCGCTAATAGCAAATTATTTACCACCCCCTAAATTTGGAAACACCCCCTCTAAAATAAAAGGCTGGGGAACATACTGGCGGAAACGTATTTCCTCGCCCATCACACAGTGTCTGGTTTGATATCAAGTATTATCTGTCACAAAAAAAATATAATTTGAAGCGACATTAAATGCGAGATGCGCAAAATACAACGGTAGTTCTCGGGAATTAACTTTAAGATGACTGAAGGCTTTATATATCGTCTTTAAAAGAACGCCACCCATGCAACATAATAATAGTCTGATTAGAACGGTAAACTCTCGCTGTTTATTAAATTTAAAGTAAGTAAACTCGCGATATTTCGATCACTTTTGGGTTTTCTCCGACTTGCGGCCCGCGAGACCTCGTCAAAAGTTTTTGCGGTCCTTTAACCTAGCAACCTTGAACCTCCCTGAGGTAGACTACTATAGGTACCGGTAAAATTTCAAACTACAGTTGTGACTTGTATGCTTTGGTATTTCGATTCACGTTGAGACTGGAGGCATGAATCTTAATTGTCACACTCCCTCAGGATTAGAGCTCAACCGATATATCTGCTCGATATTGCGTGTTTCCGATATATCATATCGGCAGTGAACGGCCGATATAGGCTATATATCTGCTTTATATAACCTTTAAAAACCCTAGGAATGTTCGTAAAAGTTGTTTTATTTACTGTTGGTTGTGATTATTTTTAATGGATAATACCCTTATGTGGTATATTGTTTTTATAATTAAATTACACATGATGGGGTACCAAAGTTTTCAGTGCTTAGGGCACCAGAGCTGCTTAATCCGCCCTTGGGTAGTGAATTCCAGATAACTGGAGATTTGGAAAAATAAATCTGGGCATACATAGCCCACATACGGACTCCAAAAGGTTTTGTTAGTTCAGCAAATGTATCTTTGAGCCTAATATTTATACCGATGAATGATCTATATCAGGGGTTCTCAAACTTTTGGTGTTGCGGAGCCCCTGAAAAAGTTGACCATTATTCGCGGAGCCCCAAAAGAAATGTTAAAATTGTAGCTTTCCGATAAATATTCCTGAGTAAGTTAAAAGTACTTAACTTAATTTAAAGGCTAAACCTTTTTTTAATGGGGTTAATGCAAGTCATAAATAAATCAAAATTTCAAAGATAAATTATATATACTCTTACTAAAGCTGTAAATTTGACACTTGACAAACATATTAATAAACTAGGGGTCGAATCTTTTCCCTTTTGACATTTTCGGAAGACTTAAAACTAAAAGGCTGCTAATAACGTGCGCGATTGCATTTTGTTACAATCACCGATAGTTTTCGTCAGCATGGCATGTTAAACATCTTTACGCCAGTGTTTATTCTCCCTAAATCAAAAATTTTCTTCGGCTTATACACGTATTGTTCCACAATGACGACGATGATTGCTTTTTTGTTCTCGTGGGGAATTATGAGTTCAATGTGAAAAACATGTTACCATATATAGTCATCGGCGACGAAATGCTAAAAATAATAATTAATAATAAAGAGGTAAATCCGCAACTCAAATTTCTTGATTGAAAAACGGCATTCCAAAATATTAAATTTCAA